TGCAATGTTGTGGAGGGCAGGGTCTCACAATCTCAGCCTATTTCACTACTGTTTTCTTGTTGCTAGTATCAGCGGGTTGGTCCTTTTTTGGTTAAAGTGTTCTTGTCTGTGGGAGGGATTTGGTGATGCAGTAATCTACATATCACACACTGCATGGAGAATTAGAAGCATGTGAGGTTGCTATTACTCTGAATCAATACAACTAATTGGTATATATTCAGTGCATTACATTAAGGTTAGTTATGATGAGGGAATTTCAAAACGTTTGTAATGATTGAAAGTCATGCTTTTATTTTGTCATGCTCTCTCAGACCTGGTTGTAGGCTATAAAGGAATTTAATCTGAGTTGTCACTTCTGGGTCTGTTATGTGAATTGTCTCCTGGGCCCTATTGCCCATATGCACGACTGGGCCCTTTAAATATTTGCTACTGTACCGCAATGTATGCTCTTTTGTGCAAAGCAAGCTAAAATTAGCGTTGTGAGCCTCGTCCTCATCCGTGTATTTCATCAGAAAACCTGATTATAAACGTGTTTGGGGGAAAATGTAGACACTCGTGCAATATGACAGTCATAAATCTAATCGCCATTGGCCTCAATAGCTTCCACCGATACATAAAGCATGCAGATGGCCACTGTGTGTGACACAGCCACGTCTTGTGCGGAGAAAAGGGCCTTTATTGGTTGTACGACTGTTTTATGAAAGCAACATATGACAGAAAACAACGGCATTGTAACCGAAAGGTGCGCTTTAATTAGCCCAAAACCCCGCTTACACCCAGCGTCGTGTTTTGTTACAATGCCCAATGAGCGCCTGTCTTCCGCTGCGGTGTCCCCCCGCACACAATCAACCAAATGCCGCCTCACCTCTCAGACTCTCCCCAGATTTGCTCCGGCGATGATGAGCTCCAATCCATATAGGCTGTTCCCTCAGTCAACGGGCATCCATGCCGGTAAGACGCTGCCTTCAAATCACCCGTCCATTATTCATTTTTAAGGGGAAATATAACCAAACAGGAACACATTATCTGTGCGGTCGACGTTCCGCACACCGCTCAGGTTTGGAGGGGGCGTGTGTGTATGTGTGTGTGAGTGTGAGAGTGTGAGGATGCGCGCCCTGAAAAATGAAAGCAGGGATGTCACCGAGCCCCCATCCCACATTGCAGAGCCCCTGCTGTTCAACCAGCCCCACCACCAGACGAGAAGAGCTGCTTCAAAAGCAAGAAAGCTGTCTGAGGTTACATCCTTCAAAATAATGATCTGCACATTCCCTGATTTCACTAAAGGTAACTGATTTTTCCAAAATAAAAGTACCACAACCATGTTACCAAAACAAAATGTAGCATAAGCTTCCAGTTTTCACTGAGATAGACTAAACAGTCCTGCTCTTTTTCTTTCTTTTTTTTTTTTTTTTTTACAGCTTATCCTATATACTGGCTTATTATAATGTCCCGCATGTAATCCTTGACTGAGTTCTTTATCAAATGTACATTTTCTTTGAGGCATAGCAGGGATTTATCAAAATGCTGGTTACCACTACAGAAAGAGCATATGATCAGATACCACATTAAAAACTACACCTGTATGCTTTCTACAGCACAAACTGACCATAAGGTTTTGCCTCATTATCTGGATTTTCATGTCCTTGCACTATACAGTTAGGTTCCTTTAAAAATCCCTGAGATCCCCCTCTGCTGATATTTGTTTCAAGCTGCAGAGGCCGCTGATCATTTTATCAATTTGAAGATAGTGACATTAACTTGGGGGTCCTGCTCTGAAAGAGAAGGATTAGAGGGACAAAGTTAATAAGATTATGTCATGTTTGCTTTAGCACTCAGTAACAGCAAGAGGATGTGAAGAGGGATACAGCTTTGGTAATCTGGTTAGAAACCACAGAACCCTTAAAATACCACTTATGGGTGCAACAGAAACAGTTTTGAAAGAGGAGAGAGATCGTTAGCTGAGCCTGCGGCATCACACATGAGCCCGGGGGATGAAAAGTCATTACTCTTAACTAATGAAGGAGCAAAAATATCATAATATTCTGTTGTATTTCACATTTACTTCTTTAGTGGATGCCTGTCGGGTTGTGACTTATAAGACCTCCACACTCATTTTAGCCTGAAAAGGTTCCTGTGCTTCCTTCACAATATCAGATGTGGTGGCATGTAGCTAATGGGGCCATTTTTTTTTGCCACAGCGCCCTCTCCTGGGGCTAAGGTTGCTATTTAGTGAAACAATGTTATTTTTTTTTGTTTTTTTTAACTGACCCTTTATGTTTAGGTTTAGTCTGGTTAGGATGATTTTTTATGGTTAAAAGGGTTCACACATACACATCAGCTTTACACAATTTTGTATTTAATCTAACCATGCCATCTGTGTGATATATGACATACAGGGATCTTATATATTGTTGCTTGCAGCTGCATTTTTGTTTGTTTTGTTTTTGAACTATGAGCTTCCCCACTACCTATTTTGTATATCATGGTCTCTTAATTTCAACACTTTTTCATGTTTATCTCTGCTACAGGAGGGAGGGAAGAGAGGCTTGTGTACAAATGTCATTTTGGAGAAATTGCAAAATCTAAGAAACATATATTTTTTAAAAGGTTCACACACAGGAGCTTCATGCCAAATTGTTAGCCTCAACTGCAATAATTTAGTGTCAAAAAACTTTCTTTCTAGTACGTTATCTAATCTTAGTTGGTGGGAAATTCATAGAGCACAGCACATCTCGCAACCACATGATTCAGATATGAACCACTAATACTCTCTAAGCTGATACAAATCAGTGGGACTTCACACTTGTGACTTCAAACAAAAAACTCTTAAGGTTGCTGACCTTTTAATTTACATAACCTACTCAAAGTGCATCTAGTGGCTAATTTCAACAAAATTACTCCAAGATGCTTGTAAAAGTTGTATTTAATCGATCTACTATCAACATTTTTTGTTGCTGTTTTTATTATTTCTTGCACCCAAAAAGTATCACATTTTCATCCATAGCTTATATTTTGCCAATAAGTTCCAATATGATTTATTGAATCAATGTGAAATATCTGTTGAAGTTGTCTTTGTTAACATAATACCAAATATGTGCACTACTACCCAAATGCTCAGAGCACAGAGAATATTTCAAATATAAGATATAAATGAAAGAGAAACATTAAAAAAAACCCAAACTTTCCCCTCTGTTTATTAAAATGAAAATACTCTGCAACTTAATTCATAAATCTTTAGCTGAGCAGACACAACAGTGACATAACGCTTGATACACTTGACTGACCACACATTTTGTCTACATATTCTCTCATCAGCTGTTAACAGAAAAAAAAAAATCTGTTATAAACTATAAAAAAAATCAGACGACATGGCAAGGCATGCTCATAGTTTTTTGTAATCTTTGTTCATCTCTAATCTCAAACTCGTGCGAGCATCACTGTGCAGTAAGATTCATGTAGCAAATCAGCTGTAGTTACCTCAACAGACACTAGATGTCCTCATGAGACCACTCAAGCATTTAGCTCCTACATAGACAGAGATACCCGCTACTGTTGCAATATAATACATTTTCACCCTTACACAATAACATTGTGTTACAGCCACTCATTTCACCTCTCAGTCATTATATCCATGCATTCACACCACATACAGAAGGTCAGCATCAACAACACGTCTCTGATTTGATTTCGTCTTCCTCACTCATTTCTTCCTTAAGTCCTCTTCCCAAAAATCACTCGGGGTCCCGACCTGCTCCCCCGAGGTTCTGTGTTGATGATCCAAATGGCAGGGGCTTTCATGAAGTCCCTGTCAGCCACCTTGTTCTCCTCGGCCCGAGCCATCGCCTCCAGTTCAGGTGAGGTTTCTGGACACCAGTCGGCCATGAACTTATCCTTTGCCTCACAGTAGTTCACCACCACTTCCTCAGGCTGCTCCCCAAACATCCAATCTGGAAAAAGAGAGCGAGGGAAGATGTGTAAGGAGAAAATCATTAGACAGGATGCAAGAGAAAAGCACAATGAGAGACTGTATTGAACAGTGGAAACAGTATCTTCTGGTTTTAAGAAGCTGCAGCTACAGTAACAAACCTGCACAGTCATGGATAAGGTCTTTGATGAGGTGCCCGATGATGGCGTAAAGAACAGACAGCACGATGAAGATAGCCATGAGCAGGTAGAGGACATAGGTGGGCAGGTGGACAGCATCCCGAGAAGGGGGAACATAAGACTCAAAGAACACGGTCCCATCTTCCTCCTTGTAACGAACGTTTAAGCTGTCCACTGTCACATCCATTGCCGCACGGTAGTCTTCAAAAATCTGCTGTCAGCCAGGGGATATCCACTTAATATCTCTGTGTCATCGCTGTATTACGAAGCCAGCACAGAGGTTTTGTCTGACTCATCACCTCATGCAAATTACAAAAAAGATGCACAGGAAATACTATGTCCTCCACCTTTAAAAGTCTGTGTCTACAGAATCTCTATAGGAAATAACCTCATTACCTCACATACTCACAAACTTTGCAAAGAAGCAGGTGAGGATCCTCCAGTTCATTAGGTATCTTTGCTCCTGTGATTAAAGGCTACACAAAGCAAGAAAGACTTCAATTAAAATTACAACTGTATCTCTCCCCCTGATTATTTTTTCATTTTGTTTCCCTCCCTATCTGTCTGCTTGTTGAGCGATGCATATGGAAACTAGATTAGCTGCAGCAGCTTGAGGTACTCAAGGTCAGAGGAACGACTCCGCAAGCAGTTTCCAAATGAAGGAGAGTATTTACCTGCTGCACTTAGAACAACATGTAGATTATCTGTCTGTCTATCTATCTGTCTGTATATCTATCTATCTTAACGCTCTCCGTGTGTACATTATTACTGAACAGTATTTAATATGGCTGATGTAGAGTAATCCCTGGCATTTACAAAGGTCATTGCCCCTGACACAACCAGGTATTAGAGTAAGGTAAGATGGATTAATGAAAGCAGAGAAGACACAACAGCACTCTTGTATTATTCAGCTGTTTACTGGAGAGAAGCTTAGTCCCAACACCAGAACAGGAAAACTGATGTGTGTTTTCTTCAGAAAAACATTACAGCAACAAGTGTGAAGTAATTGGAAAATGATAGTCATGACAGTGGAAGATGCACCGAAATGGAAATTTATGTGCAATTTAACAACACTTAGGAGGAATTTGACATTTTCATTGAGAGGTATTTTCAAGTCAAACTATTTTTTTTAGCTTTGATGTCAGTTATCAAAATAAAATGTCCTTTTTGCAGGTCCTATTAACATCACTGAAGTTTACATAGTGCATAATTTACATTTTGTAGCATGAGCAATTGGACCACGAATAATAATATAGTGCAATATAATGAAATTATTGACAATGTGGACCTTTTTTTACACTAACTTTTTTAATAAGTGATGACAGGAAGCATTTTCTTGTAAAATGAATCAAAACTATAACTGTTGACCAACATTTGTTTTTATAGAAAACAAAAATAGCTTTAGCTTAAGCATTACTACAGCAAAGAGACAACACTGATTACTGCACTGAAATGAGAGATGAGACAAAAATGTATCTGAATGACTTTTGTGACAAAAACTCAGAGGGAGGTGACATAAGGGGTCGCAGGGCAGGCGAAGGTGACACTGTGAGCGGATATCCTTTTTTCTCCAGTGTATGACGAAGTGATGGCACTTCTCAGTGGAGGAGGGGTGGATGGACGGCGGCAGCCTCCTTCACTCTGGTAGAAACCGGGCAGTGGCCTGTCCTTTTCCTCCTCCATCCTCAGCATGTCTTTCCCCCTCAGCTCACTGGGAAAACTCTGTCGGCGCTCTGCTTCTAGTTCTGCTTTTGCTTCCTCTGAATCATCCTCCACTGGTTTGGGGCCAAGAATCCAGTCTGTGAGGGGAAAAGGCATAAAAATGAAATGAAATGCAATGTTCTTTTCTGACTTGATGGTGTGTTTTAAAGGGGCACTCCACCAATTTTACACATGAAGTCTAGTTTACTCATCATATGGTGTACTCAGCCTGTGAAAAAGTTGTATAATTATTAGAAATTACTGAATTGCTGCCTAACCATGGGTTTAGAGTTTGAAAGAAGTGGGCCTTTGCCAAGTAAGCAAAGTCTAAATAAACATACTATTAACTTTCATTATGGGAAATACAGGATCAAGTGTTTTTGACTAAAGGTCTGGATAGCTCGGCCTTCCCGCTTTGTGGAAGAGAAAACACCAAATTGCTGGAGTACCCCTTTAAGATGTTACTTTAGCTGCAGTCATTCACTCAACTTTTAATCAGTTTTTTGGTATTCACCTTAATGGTACAACAAGGAAACTTGGTAAGGTTTAAAAAAAAAAAAATAAATAAATATGAAGGGGAGTCATCAAGCAACACGGTCACCCAAGACGATAAAGAAGGGAAAGACAAAATGTTGATGCCACCTTGACCCAAGACTTCAGGGTAAGGAAAGGGCTCAGAGACACCACAAACATGGAGTGGACTGATGGGAAGGAGAGAACACCAGCCTGGGGTTACCTGCCAGGTCATGCATCAGATCTTTAATCAGGTGTCCCACTATGGCGTAAGTGGCCACTATAACCAACACCACCCCAACTAGGACGTAGACTACATTGCGCGGCAGAGTTATAGCATCTCTAGCTGGGGGAATGTAGTCCACAAAATAGGCCTCCTCCTCCTCCGCCTTCCTTCTGGACAGCTGCAGGAGCTGACGGTGCTCAAACACCACTTGTGTGAGGTTTAAAAGCAGAGCTCCTCCTGAGGCGTTCAGGGACACAACCGGTGGTTGCTTCATTGTTTTGGCTGCTTTGGTAGAGTTGTTTTTGACAAGTAGATACTCTCTTAACAGGAGAGTGTTCAGAGAATATGGTGAAACTCTGGGCCTGTTTCTTTGGGGGCGATGACAGATTTATTGTGTTGTTGCAGATCCGAGTTCCTTCATGGCTCTGTGAAAACTTGGAAAACGGGTGAAATAGGTGCATCAGAGAGGAGGAGGGAGAGGAGCTGAGCGTTAGAAGATTTATAACATTGTCTGAAGCTGGGAGGAATGGCAGGATTGACTGACAGATGGAAATGTCAATATGTTTAAAAAATGAGAACATTGTCAAGAGTGTCACAGAATAGTGCTACTAAAATGTGGTTCACCAGACAAGAAAAATCTCATAACATAAGTGTGCCAATTCTCCTAATCTCTCGTCTAGACTTAAATCCCAGCATTCCTCCTTCTAGTCTTTTGGAGAGGGGGTCCTCGGTCAAATTTCCAGCGGGGTGAGGAGTGTGAGACGGAGGAGAGGTGAATATAGGACAGACAGAGTTAATAGGATTGAGTCTGTCACAGAGCAATATCAGCTTTCCATCTGCAGGGATTAGAGATATGAGCGAGGAGAGGTGGACAGTAATATGCCAAAGAGGCTTATGGTCCTCCATAACCACGTTGCATATAAATATGATACATATATTACAGTAAACCCAGTTTCTCTTGGGTTTAAACTGGCATCACTTTATGGATATTGCATGCTTTATATTCATCTTTACAGCACAGCAGGTCCACTTCTTGTATTCTATAAATGTCCCATCACATAATTCACTAATATGACACTATATTTGCACGGCTCATTTCTTGCTTCATAACAGAGCAGATGGCGATATTTCAAAATGCAATCTGAGTTTTGTGACCAATAAATATTCCCATTGGTGGGAAAACTGTAAGTCATCAAATGTAACTTGTGAAAGACTCACATGAAACTGATAAAGAGCAACATCTAATCTACCCTTGCAATATAAAAGATGAGAACATGTTAAACATGAGAAGGAGGAAATGAGGTTTAAGATGTTTTAGGGAATAGATTTAATTCCTTACCTTGTAATCAAGACTTCAAACCGGCTCCTCAGCTTTTTTCTTTGACTTGTGCATGAAAGGACTTCCAAATTAGCGTGTGTTGTACACAGACAGCTCTGGAAATAACCAGAAACACATGGCAGAAGGTTAAGGTCATGCAAACAAAAGGCTTACCGTAGTGGCTGCTCTATCACTGCAAACAGCTAAAAGAAAAAAAAAACCCCACCATCATTGTTTTTCTCTACAAGTGGGCAGGTAAACAGTGGTCCTAAAATGCACTTTTTATCCTCTCAGATGTTTTTGGTGAAGCATCAGGATGTGCTGCAGATTGCCTCCTCTATGGTGTAGACTCATTTTCTTTAGGCTGAGTTTGAACTTGGTTAAACTGAGAAATGAGAAAACTCCACTCTATGATGGTGATGGTTATATTTGCAAAAAGAATGAACCAAGACACTGGGTGCAACCCGCAGTAGAAGACGTGCGACATGTTGTTCAGAGGAGAGATGTAAAAAGGTTTGACTGAGAAATCAAAGTGAAACAAAGACAAACGAGAGGAATGGATATGATCAAAAAATAAGCAGGGTGAGGTCTCTGAATGCGTCTCAAGATGCAGCTGTCAGGAGAGGAAGGCTGTGTGTGTCATTATGGAGGTGTTCTTTAGTAATCCTTGACAGGATTTGGTTGACACATGCCACCGTCACCGGGAACACCTTTTCACTGAGTCAGCAGACAGCAAAACAAAAGATGGAGTTCATTGAGCATCACCTGAGGAACCTGTTGACAGTCAAGTGCGGTGCAGTTTGAGCCGCTGATACTTTACAAGACAGTTCGCAGAAAGTAAATCATGCAATTCAACATATTGTCTGATGCGGACGTTTTAGATAAATGTCAGACTTTACCTGTGAGAAGGATTCCTTTCTCGTTCACTTGCGGGATTCATTCAGTTCAGTTAATTTTAAAGTTCACAGCGGGGTTCCAGATCTTCTTCGGGTGAAACAAGAAGCAAATTGACTGCAAAATCAGACTCCACAGAAAGCACTACAAGCTGAACTAGTCCTACGCAAAAATAACACCCAGTCACTCAGCCAAGCAGGTCCATATTGACTGTGACTCCCTCAGGCTGGGGTGACCACCTTCTTGGGTTTGTCTTCTGGCTCCACCAGCCACTTGAAGTAGGCATCTCCCAGGAGGAAGGTCCAATAGACAACGGTGAGGGAAGTGTTTACGGTCACAATGCCGATGATTAAAGGGTGCAGCATGGTGCAGACTGAGTGGACTCTTTTCAAAATCTGTGTCACCTCAAATTAAAAAAAAAAACCCTGTCTGCTGTGTGGGTGTGCGACAGGTTGTCTGTACGTCTGATTGAATCAGCCTGCTTCTACTCTCTTCGTGGACTCCCCACCCCTCTCTACTCTCTCTTTCCACTGGTCACTAAGTTTCTGTGGCAACAGCAGCATAATCCTCTTCAGCCGCTTTGTAACAGAAGATAAAGTTGCATTAGATGTAGGCCTGCTTTACAAATGTTGTTCATCCTTAAGATGTAGTTACGTAATGCACATGTTCATTCTCTATGATCTGCAGTTAAAAGACTGCTATGAGCCAATATTTTATAAAGCAACTGTGCAACAAATATAAGAGTGATGATTAGTTTTAAACAACACCCTGACTGAAAAAAAAAAAAACATAATCTTTGTCCTGAACTTTGTGTTCTCTTTCAGATATAATCCAGAATCTAATCAAGACTGGAGACATCAGATGGAGGAGTTCTTAATCTTACACCAAACAGGACAGATGGCTCCCTAAACGAACCCCAGGGGCCACATGAGCCTATAGACAACACTTCAACATGTGCAGTGTGACCGGGATTTTGTTTTGTTTTTTTTTCATTACAGACTCATCTCATGTACCAAAACTTGCATGACCGGAGAAGGCAAAACCACAAATTGAAGCTATCAATGGGTGGGAGAAAGAAAAAAAAGTTGCCTCCAGCAGGCGGCAGTCTGTACAAGCTGAACGGTGAGTGACCTGTATGATCAGAGTGGTTCTCCAGTAACATGTGGAGCCGCCTGTCCCTAAACACCACATCCAGCATAGAAAAATAAATGAGTATTTTACGCATGACGTGCCAGTCAGAAATCCATAATCTGAATCTTGCATGCTTTCCCTTTAAAATTTCGCCCGCTGGACATGACCCCTGAGTTGAACTTTGAGACCTAGCTACCAGACAGCAGACACATTGGAGCAGCATGGTGTTTCATCACAGATCAAAAGGCAACTGGTGACACTCCTTCCAATTATCTCCTTCCCTCGGCTGCGGCAGTGGAGAGGACGCTGGCTTCAAACATGCCTCGTTTCATCGCCAATAAGCGCGTTTAGCTGGGGATATTTCCATCTTGATGCTTCTCTCTCTTTTTGTTTTTTTAAAATAGGTCAAACAATCAGTTTTTCAACAATGAGGCCGCCGGTGGAAGTGTCCGTGTTTCTCCTCTCCCTCCTGGCTCCTGTAGTCTTGTACACCTTGAACAACATCCCCGTGCTTCAGGAGTAAGTGTGTGTCTGTATGTATGTGTGCGTGTATACACTATATTTTCCCTCTCAGCTTGGCCTGCGGCGTGGAGGCATCGTACAGTGAAGCCGCTGATATGAATAAGCTCGTGAAAGGCCCACAGCCTGGAGGAAAAGACGGTTTTAGCGACGGCGTGCTCAACGTCCATTAAAGTTGAGATTCTTCAAGCCCACACTGAAAACAAGATTCACGCAGGCCTTGAAAACAAAACGAGAGGAGATGAAAATGAATTAGTTGAGGGGAAATAGATTAAACTCGTAAAAGTAATATATTAAATTGCTAAACTGATTACCCTGAGTGCAAGGCTTTTAAATGAAAATAAATCACCCAAATTCACTGGTGTTCCCTGTCTGCACCAAAATCAGTGCAACTGATCCATAGAGATACACTTTTAAAAGTAATGATTTAACTATATGATCACTGTATGGCTTGACTGATATTTAAAACTGTTTTGTGCAACATCCAGTGTTAGATTTTTTTTTTTTTTCTAAAAGGATAATGGAGGAAATAACACATTTAGAGAAAATTGTTGTGAGGGTTGTCTTTTCTGATGAAAGTGTGGATGTGAGGGAGATTGTACATTCTAGTAAAATTAGAGCTGCAACCAACAATTATTGTCATCCTTGAATAATCTGCTGATTATTTCTCGTGATTGATTGAATGTAAATGTTGGAAAGTAGAGGTAAAAAGCACGAGGCGACGTCTTCATGTCGTCTGGTTTGTCTGACAAACTGTCTAGAATTGGATGGTATTCAGTGAATTAACACAAATGACACAGGGAAGCAGCAACAAGCTACAACCGGTGACTGTTTGCTTGAAAACTGACATAAACGACAAATCGATGATCACAATAGTTGCTAGTAGTTAAATGCTTGCAGGGTTGTAGACTGATGAATGAGCGCTCACTGTGTCCGTCACTGTTATTCCTCAGACCTCTGCCTGTCCTGGGAATGGGAATGGTTGTCCTGGGATCTGTTCTTCTTCTTCTTCTCCTCACTGTGCCACACAATAAGAAAATTGACCCTTTATTCTATGGTAAAACCAGTTAAACAAATATTTTGACATTGTCAGTGAAATAAAGGTGTAGAAGGTGTTTAATAAAAAAAAAAATCCTGCATATGTTTCTTCAGTGTTTGCAGAGTTTTCCTTCACCTGCATGGTGGGCCTGACTAATGCTTTAGAGCAGGATGGCTTCATCTCTGGCTTCATGGGCTTCTATCTAAAGACGGTAAGATCCTTTCCTCCCACTCTCCTAAATACGACTTCCTGATGATGGTTTTTATCACGTGTTTATATGTCATTGTGTGATGCTATCTCTTCAGGGTGAACCTCATCTGAGTTCGGCCTACGCTGTGATGATGTCGTACTGGGAAGGCGTCTTTCACGTTGTCCTCTTCCTCACCATCATCCACCGCATGTTCAGAGGGTGAGCTGTGGCATCATCACCACCACTGCCACCGCCACCGCCACCATCTCTGCCTGTCTGCTGTGTGTTCAGCGGGTTCGTCTTAATGAAACCTGTTGCTTTTCTGTTCATGCAGGAAGTCCTATCGAAGCCTGGGCCTGCTGTGGACGGGCTCCTCCATCGCCCATCAAATTGTTCTCATCCCGGGAGTGGTCATCGGTGAGAGCAGCCTATGCAAGCGCTGTTTTTCATTGTGTGTATGTATTTAATCCCGAGTGTTGTTTGAGGTCCATTTCTGCTGATGACGTTCTCGTTTGTGCAGGTAAATACGGGTCTAACATTCGACCGGCCTTTTGGAGGAATGTGCCGTTCTTTCTGGTGCCTTTCTGGGCGGCTTCCCTGCTCTTTAGCAGACCCAGAGAGATGCCGGTTGTCACAGCGGACAAGGTACATTTCCACTGGTGACACATTTACAATATTCTGAATAGACTATGTGTAGAGTAGTGGCATCCAACCCTTTTCCTTTTTAGACTATTTCATTTCAAGTTTTTTCTCCTGTTTCCTCACGTCTGATGATAATCTTGCGACCTCTTAGACTCATGACACGACCCATTGTGTTGGATCCAAACCCCAGGTTGGGACCCACTGCCATAGACGATCAACTAATTTGTGCTAATTGACTTTTATGATGATATCACAGCCCGGCTGATGCTGTATTTTTTTTTTTAGGCTCACGCAGGTACTAGCCTATATTTGAGATTTGATATATTGACCAATTTTTTGTTTTGTACATTAATGCATTTTACTGTGATAAAGATCTGTCTTGGCCAACACATATTTAATGATAGGCTTTATCATGAAAGCTGACAGAAACCGTAAATAAAAGGTAACAGAACTTCTTTAACAGCAAACTTCACTAGACATTAAATTATCATAGTAACTATAAATAAAATCATGAATAAAATAAAACACTTTAAACTTATAACAAATATACATACCTATGCAGCCTGTCACAGTTCTTGCTGTAGTGCTGATACTATCAATCCTTTGCTTAGCCAATTTTGTCCCTATCAATATATGAATTTGGCTTTAATCATTATTAAGGTATTAAAATAAAGAAATGGACAGTGCCTACATTAACTGAGAATGCGTCCGTGTTGACTAGATCGCCGAGGAGCAGAAGAAAGGTCTGCTGTCCCGCCCGCTCGACCTGCTTCTCTCACTTCTGTTAGTGGGGGCGATGGCCTTCTCTGTTTTCAGAGGCTTTGTGAGTAAAACCACATGCTAGCTTTTGTAGCCTTTTTCCAGTATGTCTGCCTTACTCACTGAGATATCAGGTAACATGTTGGAATACGGTTCTGTCCTCCTGCTGTGTTCCAGGTGGTGCTGGATTGTCCCCTGGACGCTTGTTTCACCTACATCTATCAGTACGAGCCGTACCTCAAAGACCCAGTCGGCTTCCCCAGGGTTATGGTCAGTCTGGAGAAAGATGCACAGGATTAAAGCAAATCTAATGTATATCTATAACTGATTTTTGTGCACAATTCTTCTAGATGCTGGTGCATTTGTTCTATGCTCTTCCCCTGCTGACTGTCCTCATCTATGGTCTGAGAACACCCGGGTGCAGCTGGATGTTAGACTGGACCATCTTCTTTGCAGCAGCCATGGCTCAGGTAACTTTGGTTGTAATGTGTTCGTTGTTATTCATATAGCGTGAAAAAGCAAAATGCCACATAACAAGTCTAATGTTGACTTCCTGCTGTTCTCTCCAGACCCAGTGGTGCCATATTGGTGCATCTCTGCACTCCCGCACTCCCTTCACATACCGAGTCACAGCAGACAAATGGTGGCCTGTTATCACCCTCAATGTGCTGCTCGCTGCTGCGCCGGCTCTGCTGGCCCTGCGCTGCCGCACTAACCCTGCTTATTTTATGAATCCTGTTCCCGAGGGACAGACCAACGACGAGAAGAAGAAAAACTAAACCACACACCAGCTGCTGACTGTCGAGGAATACTTCACGCTGTGACGGGCCGAATGTTTTCTGTGGACTCTCTCTTGTGTACAAACTGCTTTAAACTCACAATTTTTCAACCTCAAAACCCAGAGGAAATCTAAAGACACTGCTCTTGAGTCAACTGTTTTGAAAATCAGTCACCTCGTGCAGCACTCCCTGCATGGACTATTGGACCCTGATAAGAAGGCTGTTGATGGAGTTAAGGGCTGTGATCGTCTCTCACAGTTTTCAGGTGACTCATGCAGACACCCAGTTCATAAAGTCATGATTCTACATCTTTCTATGCAGAAATCCACACCAAAATCTCTGCAGCTCTACAGCTGAAAGTTTGTTCTTACTGATCTAACAGTGACAGGGTCAGTGAACTTATACTTATAAAATCTTGAAAGTCTGAATAACTTATGTTGATGTGATAAGGGAGATGGTAGCAGATGTTACTCAAGAGGAAAAGTCGACCTGGTGATGGATACTGTGCACCGTCTTTGGTGATTCTATTTGTTGTTACTGGGGCTGCAACTAATGATTGATTGATCAATCATTTGGTCTATAAAATGTGAGTAATAAAAAAAAAAAAATGTGTATCACTATTTCCTAGAGCCCAGGGTGATGTCTTCAGATTGTTCTGTTTTGTCCCAGCAATCCATTTTTCACTGACACTGTTTTTGACCGATAAATGATTTAAAAATAGTTTTGCCCATGAACTCATCAACTTATTAACTAACATTTTAGCTCTAGTCATCTCAAATGACGCAGTTTCTCTGAGTCTCTTGGCTTATGTCTTTCTGTGCTTTCAACGTGTAACAGGCCATAGATTCATGATCACGAAATCCAAAGTTGAAATCTGCTTTTATTCATCAGCTGAGCGGTTTGCTGGTTTAATAGGACGATCTCCTCAGAAGTCAATATTGTCCCTGCCTGGTGATGTCATTGTGCCCTATGTACAGTGAACCGCTGTGGTAGTCAAACTGATAAGCATTGAACCCTGGATTTAGGTTAGCTGTCACACACAACAGCAGCACAAAAGATGACGTGACACATCAGCCAGCTGTGCATCACGTAAACTGTTTGTCTTTTGAGGTGAATCAAAGTTGCCCTCACATGCTGTGTGTACAGGACTGTAGCTGCTGTTAGGCAGAGGTCGTCGTCCTTGGTTGATTTCACGTTAACGGTGCAGTTTATATCTGGAAGTGTAGAGAAACTGGGACCATGGTGTGAGATGAATTAAACATGGGGGGGAAGACGCCTATGACAGATGTATGATCATCCCTGTGATTGAACTGCTTTTTTATCAGATCAAAATCATACTGTAATTATACTGTGCGACATAAGAAAAATCTTCTCTTTTTTCACACTGGGGGTTCTGTTGATTCTGGCAAACACAATCTGTTATGTCTCACTCATCGGGTGGGGTCATCCTTCTCTCTCCTCAAGTATTCTGCTCACTGACGCAACCAAGATGAGCTCATGTACCAAACAGGATAAAACTATTGCCCAGAGTGTAGAGAGCGAAATAAAGTGAGCAGCAAAGAGTTTCATCTGCTGGGGTACCAAACTGGTGACATGATAGAAACAATCTAAGCACAACAGCACTTTCCTGTCAAAGACGAATGGATTATGGGATCTGTACACAGACACACCAGTGAAAGAAAACCTTGCTAGTGGCTCTGTGTGATGGCACTAGATGAAAAGTCAGGGAAGTCACCGATATTATTTCAGTTCACACTATTGATAGGGGACGTCATTGACTTGCTGGTGGCGCTATGGGAAACATCAGGGGATAATCGAATTCATCGGGCTTCATCCTCTGGGGACCACGAGGGTCTATGCAAAATTTCACAGTGATTAATCTAATAGTTGTTGAGACGTTTACAAGATAGAAGCAGATAAATTTGTTGTTTTTTTTGTTTTGTTTTGTTTTTGGCTTAAATGAAGGATACTCAGGAATGTTCATTTTTTTCTCACTTTATTAAGAATGAAATACAACAGCAGGACAAAAAGTCATAAGAACACCAAAAAAGTGGATGATCGATCAAATATCAAAGGGACCAAAGACAAAAAAATTGTGACATTCTACCCATCATGTAAATATAGCCGTGCAAAGATTGAAAGTATTCAGCAATTCAGATACAATCAAGTGGTTATCTCACGAAAGTATTGTATAATCCCATCCAAACTAACTATGCCAATGGGACATATTTATTAGGTGAGAGTGCTTATGGGAACAGGGGAGTCTATTTAATTGGGCAAGGTCCAGCTATTGATCAGGGATCAGCCAATAACAAACACCACAATACTTACAATACAGAGATTAGAGGCAATCATGATTAATTTTGTTATTGATTGTTGGACTTATATACTGGTATAGAAAAACGATGTTACATCGGCTCTCTGAAGTATAAGTAAAAAAAGAAAGCATATTCACTAGCAAATGATTCATAATAAATAGTAACATTACACAAAAACATAGCAAATATCAGAAAAAAAGCATGTCAGTAGATTAAGACAGACCAGCTATACTCTATGGAAAAAAGTAACACCTACAGTACACATACAAAAAGCTCAGGGTTATCAAGGACTGAATGCTATCTTGCATCATCACATCTGTGCTTTGTAAACAGAATACTAGGATGAGAGTCATTTTTCATGTAGAACAAGCAAACTTTTACAAAAAAAAGAAAAATGTGACTCAGCACTTCTGTAAGTCTCTCTCTTACATGCACACGCTCACACATGCTCACACACCGCTGTCAGTCTAGAGGGCTTTAGTTCATAGACAGGTGAAGGATTCACTGTACTGAGACGTTAGGGAGGGAGGATGTTAATAAGAGTTAGTGTTACAGTTAGTGTTCGCATGGACCTCGGGTTAAAGGAAGTGTAGTGAAAACAAAAAAAGAGGCATCAAAACACCCGAACTCGGTGACATGGAGATATACTTTATGTTAGAGTAAGAAAACCTTATTCGTCAGCTAAACAGAGAGCATGGTCAGAAGCAGGAAAGGAAATGAGAGTGATGTGAACTACTGTCTTTCTTTATGGGCCACAGTTAGCACCTAGGCATCGCAGACGTTGTGTTATTTGGTTCAGTAGTAGCTGTGTGCGTCCTCTCTGGCCTTGTGTCCCTCTCCTCCGTGTCTCCTGTGGCTGCGGCGCTCGTGGTGCTGATTGTGGTGGTGGCGTCTGTACCGGTGTGATCGCCGGGCTAAAAATGAGAAGGAGCCGCGTATGTTTATCTTGTTTTATGTTGTACATGTGCTGCAGGGCTGTAGATAAACAACACAACTCTGATTTCGGTGACCGTTCCTCACACTTGTTGCGCCCAGTGAATTAAGTCCTCTGCTCACCATTTAAAAATCAGCTTATAGTTTTATATCTTGCTCTTTGTTTGCCCTTCTCATTGACTTACCTTTACTTTGTATGTTTCTGCATTATATATTTTTCATATTTTAAGGGACCTTATATTTGTATTGTAAGGCTGACGCTGACGAGGCCTTGCTTCACAACAAGAAGGTTCTGGGTTTGTGGTATAGCTCTTATTTTTTTTTACCTAGACACATAACTAAAAACATTTTTGTTTTATTAGTTTTGAATTAGAATTACAATCAATATATCTAGTGACAAACTATGACACTGTTTAAATTTCTGGGGGGGGGGGCAATGAAGAACACTGGACTTGTCATGTTCATGAAACCAGTTTGAGATGACTTTTGCTTTGTGACATGGTGCATTATCATGCCGGAAGTAGCCATTAGAAGACGGTAAACTGTGGCCATAAAGGGAAACGTAGGTCAGCAATAACTGGCATTCAAACACCATTACACCAGCAGCCTGGATTGTTTTTCAGTGTTTGGGAGTCTGTGTCCTCTGCAGCCTCAGATTTCTGTTCTTGGCTGACAGGAGTGGAACCTGACAAGGCTTTGACCTTTGTTCATGCAGAGATGCTTTTTCTGCTCACCACAGTTGTAAAGAGCGGTTATCTGAATTACTGTAGCCTTTCTGTCAGCACCAACCAGTCTGGTCATTCTCCTCTGACCTCTCTCATCAACGAGGCGTTTCCTTCCACAGAGCTGTCACTCTCTGGATCTTTCTTTTTTGTTTTTCACAAAATAGTATAAATTCTACACACTTTTATGTGTAACATCCCAGGTGATCAGCAGTTTGTGAAATACTCAAACCAGCCTGTCTGACAACAATCATGCCACAGTCAGAGTCACTGAGATCATATTTTTCCCCATTAGCCATTCACCCATAAAGATGAGAAATTAGGCTATATCTGCCGAGGAAAGCCAAAACAAATCAATTATTTACAATGACAGCCTAATACTACGAGTTAAATAATTGAAACGGACTGTAAAAATAAATATAAAGCTTCATACTTTTCCTTTGCCTTTTCCTGAATACTCACACTTTGTGCAGATGATCCTGGGTCTCTCCCAGCTCCCATCAGCCCGGCAGCGAGCGGTGGGGATGTGACGTTGGTAGAAGCCTTCAGAGCACTGGTAGCGCACCACCGAGTGGATGTCATAGTGTGACCTCCGGCGGCCTATTAAATGGGCGTTCTCCACTGTGGGCGGGGTCCCACACAACACTGCCAAAAATAATTCAATTAAAACCGTGTAAATAACACAGATAAAGGTTGGTGTACATGCAGTATTTATGTCACATCAGTCATATATGGTGCCAAAAGCCCACGACTTCATGTATGGTAATAGTCTCCACCTCCACTTAGTCCATATTTGTATTTATATAAAACAAATCTATTTTAAAGGCACAGTAACCGAGCTGTGTTTTGCCTGTAGATGGCAGCATTGTTGCTGTATCTGATAGCTGAGCTGAACTGTGGTGAGGCCAAAGGGAGGTAATAGGTTTCTGCAGTAGACAGGGACTACAGCCAAACCACAGAGCCATGAGACCACAGCCCGACAAACAAACACTCACACTACTCTATCCTTTTCTCCCTGTCCTCCTCCATCTGTCTCCTTCCTTTCCTAACTCCTCCTGACCATCCTCTGTGTCTTCAGCGGCTCCCCGGCTTTCGCTCTCTTTGCATCCCGCATGATCTCACTGCATTCACATTCAGGCCGGCTGAGTTGTGGCTCACGGAGGGGGAAGGAGCGGTATTAGGAGAACCTGGCAAAATGGCTGAGAGGAATTTCAGATCATATTTGTGAACAAGGTAATAATTGGTAATAACTGCAACTACAGTTCTGCTGCGTGGACAAAAATGTAAGTGAGCCCAGTGGATATTGCTTTCAAAAATCGATACATGGTTGGAGACTGAATCGCAATCTTCACTTAAGTTTGTGGTTAACTTTTTGGAGCATCTGCTGCCATGACCTTTAATGGAGAAAAAGAGTCTGAGCAGCTCCTGACGCTTTGTGATAAAGAAATGTTTCCTACATACAGAGCACAAGAACTGATGATGAGCCCTGATGACTAACAGGCAGCCAGCTGGTCAACACACAAGGAACCGAGTTGTATGAAGACAGCAAAATTCTCTCCACATGAAATGATTATTACGCTGTGAGTCATGCTGGACCTCAATTTGTCAAACAGGGAAGGACAGAAAGTTGTTGTTTGTTTGCATGTGTTTAATTGCGCTAAAGGAATAGTTAGTTTGTTAGTGAGTACTATCGGCTGTTTGGTTGCATTCGGTCCAGCCGTCTTGCAGTACCTGTGCCTTTCTTGCAGATGTAGGGCAGGTTGTAGTTGCAGGGCACGTCGTTCCACTTGCCATCCTCATGGGCAATGGTCACCACGCAGTCCTCGCCGCCTGCGAAGAAGTTATCCGGCTGGCTCTCCCTCCAGTTCTCATATACCTGCACGACAGCAAACATCACAGTTCAGCTGCATCTGCTTTCATTTGTCAGGGCTGTCACTGTGGAAATCAACAATCTTTACTCCCCTTGCTTCAGGCAAAGATGAACACTGGTATTTTCAGATAAATGCCATTTGTAAAATTACAAATGAGATTTAAATGACCATAAAAAACATATTATCCCGATCAGTTTCTTATCATGAGCAACAGCATCTTTCTGCATGCAAAATAGAGTCAGAACAGTTTAGGCTTTTTTTCATGAGAGATTTCTGTATTGGTGTTTTTATCTGATTCAAACCGCCATCTGTCAAATCAGATCAAACCACGCCCACACTGTCCTGATGATGCACATTATTTGAGTATTTTAAACTCATTTCATCATGAATGTTGTCAGGAGCTTTAAAACTAAAGTTGGTGTTTCGCAGTCGGCGGCACAACGCAACGGCGATCACTCACCAGATCATTCCCGTCAGTCCACTGAAAGTCCTCCTCCACTGTGCGGTCATTCAGTCCGATCCAGGCGTTGTCATGACCCAGACCTGGAAAAAAATTCCAGTACAACATGATTCTTTGACCTAATTAACACACATACTTAAACACCCCCTGGCATACAGTATATCTCTGTGCTTCACACTCTCTGTCCCTTTCTGACTCGTCTATTCCATCACCTTCTTCTCTATCATTTCATTTGTATTCTATTTTCATTTGTCCTCTCCCTGCATCATACTGTAGATGAACAAATCAGGACGACTATGGAGATAAGTTACAAAGGTTTTTTTAATTTTTTTTTTTATCCTGTTTATCCTGTTTTATATCTTTAGTTTCTGAGTGTGCAGGCATTTGATTTATGTCTCTAGTTGTTTCCTTTTTTTGTTTTTGTGCATAAGTGTGTTACATACCACACCAACAATAAATACACACATACCATTGATAAACTCCTGCTCCGTAGCAGAGATGACGCTGCTGAGGTGGGCACTGTGCTCTCTGCAGTCTTTCTCTGCATCCTCCCAGGTGTGTCTGTGGGTGAAGTACCTTTGGGACGACGCAGTGAAAGTGGATATGAAAATACATATTTCATACATAATGCAGCGAGACAAGCCTAATTGGTACAGAGCACTGCGGTAAGTGTGTCAGGGAAAACTCAAGGGTATAAAGAAGTAATGCAGATAGACGAGGCACCTGTGGTTGCAGGCAAATATTTTGTGACTCCATTTATTTTCCCAGTGCTGCCAGTTTTTTTTTTCATCATTCCTACCTGTAGCAGTGGCCGTGGAACTTCCTCCAACCATGCTCGCAACCTTCTATGTCTGTAAAGATGAAGAGAAAGGAGGAGCGGAAATGACAGAAGCTAAAATTATTCCTTGAAGGGCATGAAAAAAAAATGCGTGGCTGAATGCAGGAACATGGAGAAAGACAAAATAGTCTGTCTAAGATAGGAGGAGAGGAAGCAGTGGAACCATTCGCTTCTTTTGCAGAGCGTTCTATCTCATTTGGCAAATAAAGACTAAAATATATGGCTTTGGCATCTTGAGAGGCTAAATACATGAAGTGTAATTATACAGGCTCGTTTTCAATTCACTGCACATGTGGCCCTCTCTCTGCACTATTAGTATTCATTAATAACACCAAGGCCTGTGAATTCATTTATAACTGCAAAGGTTAGATATTCATTAATCCTCATTACAACTAGTGCACAGTACACACACACACACGCACACACACACACACACATATATAAGGAGGACAGATCTGGAGCTGGAAGTGGCTAAAACCAGTGAGGTGATGAATCAGCGGGTGTGGTATGGGGGGTGATTAGTGCCACATACTGCACGGACATACATGTGACTCGTGCCTCTGTGTTTAGTGTTCATACTGCATGGGCTCATGAGACTAGACTGCCTCCTTTTTGTTGTATCACGGACTGCCAAGCCAGTACTTGTGGGTTGGTTGCTGCCGTACGCCTCTTTGATAACGTAACATGGATCTTGATTTGCCTATTTTGATATTTGAGCGCCTGCATCAGACTGTTTTTACACTCAGCCAGTTCATTGCTAGCTTAGTTTGGTTTATATTTAGCGACACAGCTTCACATCCGCCTGCATATTTTCTGTGGCTTGTTTCTCTGCCTCCTTGGTTCTCACTGTCATTTACTTACTTATTTTTTGGAAACAGCTCGGCTGGCTCTGTCCAAAGGTGCCAAAATCTACCTACCAGCATGACTAAAGCTCAGCTTAACACATTGTATCTTGGCAACTCTCAGCAAGAAAACAAATAAGCATTTTTTTCAAAATGTCAAACTATCCCTTTAAAATGATCTTAACACCTATTTGTTTTTGTTTCCTTGATTTGATCCTTGATTTGTTTCCTTGATTTGATCCTTGATTGTCTTGATATTGTATTCTGTGAGTTTACCAATTTAATTGTGCTTGTTTTTTATAAATTGTCTTCTCTTTTATATCCCTCTTTCCAAAAATTTCTGTTTGATTGACAGGTGGTGGCAGTAACATGCACAGAAGTATGAAGTATGGAAGAAGCACGCCAACAAACAAAGATGTAAAAAATGCGTTAGTCATTGCATTAGTCCAAAAAGCTGCGTTGCAAATGTTTGATGAGAAAAAAAAAAAATACAATCAACAAGTTTGTTTGTATGACCTCAGGGATACACACAATGCGTTTTGGGAAGAAACACTGAATGTAAACATCACTTTTGTTTGTTTACAAGAAAACCCCACAGGGCACCTTTAATCTACAAACAGCACATAACACTGTTACAGCAATAATCTTGAACCATAAAAACACTATTACAATCACAGCAAACACAATAAAATTGTGTTTTTGATGAGTCCTACCTGCCAAATAACTGACAAAAAAATGTGCAAATAGTAACTGGTGCTTTTTGTGCACGCAGGAGATTCAGTCAGTATCCATCACCCTGCAGCCCTATGACGCACAGATACACTGTCTGATAGCTGCAAAGAGATGCAGCCTTGCGATTCTGTATTATGACATATAGCGGTAACAGACACTGCACACTGATCAGGATTATTTCCACCAGCACCTTTTACTGCTGGTGTCAGACAGCCGGGAATCTTAATAAGTTCACCACTGTGGTTGCACATACAACAACGTACTGAATTTGTTGGCGCTACACAGTCCAGTAACGTAATGCATGACAATCGTCCTCAGATAGCTTGGAGTCATGTGTGTGTGTGTGTGTGCAGTGTTCTCCCTCTCACCTTTCTCACATGTGTCTCCTCCGTAGCTGGGCAGGCAGAGGCAGAGGAATGAATCGATCTTGTCAATGCAAGTGCCTCCATTTTCACATGGCTCGGACTGGCAGTCGTCAACATCTGTTGGGAGGAAAGAAGCGAGGATAACAGACTTGGTTGGAGATCACATTAGGGTTCAAACTTAAGAGATGTTTTCTGCTGAAGAGATGTTGTTCATGAAGAGGAGTAAAAAAGTTGGAGGCGTTCAAGAAGTGACACAAGAAGAGCTGGTCATTGCTCCCGGTTTAAACAGCGTAAGGTGGCGATGTCGGTGTGTACAGTGTCATAATTCAAACAGGGTGAGAGCAGAATACAGACAGTCTAATCTCCTTTACATTCTTTGTTTGTCCTCATTCTCTCACAGACACTCTAAAAGCCTTTCAAGTGTTGCTACATCCTTCTTTATGCGTTTACAGATCTTAACTTGATGTATGTCCAATCTCTTATTTTGTCTCTTGTTCATTGTCTCCTTTTACAAAGGACTGAATGAGGGAGAAACGGCAGTCTGCATTGCTTTTCCTTTAAAGCTGTTAAAGTGTAGACATAAATTTTGGTGGACGAGTGAGCAGATAGAGCTGAACTTGGTCTGGGCTCGGCCCCCCATTTTGGCAGACTTCCACACTGCTGAAGAGTCCTCAAGCAACAACAGATACGCTACCAGCTCCAGGGCTGCCGCTCTGCAGCTGACGGTGCTCTCTAACCTCTCTGTGGCAGGCGAGAGGAACATTTCTCTACAGGGATCAATAAAGCATCACTTTATCATTGTAAATGGAGGGCATGTAATCTTCTTTCAACACTGTGGGGTTTTTTTGGACCCAGAATAACAGATATACCCCAGGACTGCAGAAATCTATTAAAACTCACAGCGAGAGTGCAGAAAGAGAGCTACTTAAAAGTTTAAACTTACTTCAGAGTATCTCCTCAGATCTCAACAGTTACTTAGTTTCAAGCAGGAAGCTGAACACTGAAAAAGGTCAGTGGCTGTGAGGAGCTATTGTAAATGTGTCAGACGGATCAAACCAGAATGACCTTTAGCCTCACACAAGACTTTCATACTTCACACTGGTGAGGTTGGCTACATAAGGATTCATTTTCAGTCTAGTCAAAAAAGAAGTGGATATGGCAGTGTTCTAGTGTGATACTAAATAAGATTGTTTTTGAATCTTTTTTGAAATACAATTTTCTCAGCTTTAGTAACTTAACTTTAATGTTTTCTTTGGCATCAAATACTTTTAGGTTTGATCTAACTTTAATCTGACAATAGGGGTTGTTTATGTGTTTATGAAGATGGCAGCTCTTTTATGACAGAGGGAGGAAAATGAGGCTGTTATTTTTGAAGAAAGACAGAGTGTGAAAGCGTAGATTTGAGCTAATGTGTTTTCTTGTAACGGGCTCAAAGTTGTGATCAATCAAACTATGTTGTTTGTCTGTAAGATCAAATTGCAGTTTAAAGGCATAAGTAGCCTTAAAGTTTTTCAAAAGCCACTTTTCTTATTGAGAAAATAGCCTTCTTTGACAGCTTGGTTCATTGGTTCAAATCACTTCAAACCACCATGTGAGAGGAATAACACCGTGGCAGAAACACGATATAGGATTAGATCTACTTCAAAGTTACTAAAGTATGGTGAAATTGTACAAAAAAATGTATTATATGAATCAAGGATTAGTCATTTTAATCATAGTTGTACCAAGCTCAGACTGTCATTTATTAGAGATTAAATTAAACAGTGTGGGTGCAACCCAGCCAGATAATCTCCAAATAGTTTAGGCAAATGAAACTTCATCTGACAATCACACATTAGTGTGTTTAGTCAAAAAGGGCAGAGTCTGGATTCCCTACAATGTGATGTGGAAGTTTTTTTTTTACATTTTTGTCATTTTATTTATTGATTTATTTTTACCAGCACTGGTAGTGACTCAGACCTCATATTCTTTATGAAAGAATAATAAAAAAAACCTAACATATGAAAAAAATAAAAAATAAAAAATCAATGACCTTGAATGACCTTGAGATGTGCGAGTTCACAGTTCCAACTTTTTCTTTCTATTAAAATCAATCCAGCTCTTTGTTTTTCCCCTCGTCCCTCTCATCCATTATGCAGAGGGGAAGCTGCTCCTCCGAGAGATAATACTGCAAATTCTGCAAATCCATAACAAAGCCTTCCAGCATACCCACGCATCAGCTGCTGGCTGTCATTTTGATTGTCTCTCCGTCCGTCCCTCTGTCTTTCTATGACACCGAACAACCGACAAAATCGAGTAAATATTAAGGTGTTCACAGCCAGAATGTGGATCATTTATTCATGAAGTGATCATTTCCTTGAGGAATGGCTGCCTAACGAGCTGAGCATGTGTTAAGGAACAAATTAGGGCCCTTAGGGCAGATATATACTCTACCTCTGTCACGGTGTCACAGAACCTCTGCAGAGGTAGTTCTACCTGCTGCGGGACAAAGGGGATCAGCTACAGCGAAGCTCACAAGCATCTCTTCTAAAACACAACTATATTTGGGAACCAGTTTAGCTCAAGAAATGGGAAGTAAAGGTGGATGCACAGAATCTTCTATCTCAATATCAATATACACAATACATATTTGCAGTATCACGTTATAATACAATTTTGCAAACTTGATTGAGGAACCTTTATAGAATATATTTGACTGTGAATTAAATGAATAATTACCTGAAAAAACAATGTGTTCATCACATTGATGCAAAAAATCTTGTAAACCTGATACAATGTGGTACTCATCATTGATTTCCAAAATGGCCAACAATGGTCTGATACAACCAGAGTTTGTTTCTTTTCTGGCATTCTTGCCTTTATTTTTATAGGTGCAGTGACAGAGAGACAGGAAAATCAGGGAGAGAGGGGGAATGACGTGCAGCAAAGGGCCACGGGTCAGACGTGCTCTACCAGGTGAGGCACCGAGCCGCCCCGAAGAACTTTTGAGGCTTTTTGAGTCATCTTACTACCTGTTTCACAGTCATAGCAAAGTATGAAAGATATCAATAAGAACCAGTAGGGACGATGAGGCATCCACCATCCACGGTTTATCTTAATCTTTTTCAACTGTGAGCAGCCCCTTCATTTCCTTTCTGCCTTGCATTGTAGTTTAGTAAGTAATAGTTTCCTTGAACAGCACACTCAGAAATGGACAATATTTTGAATGCACGCTGTTTGCTTTGAGTACATTTATTTTGTCAGCTTCTCCAAACCTGCTTAGAATCAGTGTTCAGCATGGATTTGGGACACAGCGTGACGCCTGCTGTGGCTGGAGCTTTGTGAGCGTCAGATTTGGAGTTGCAGCTACGTGGCTGACTGTGGGTGTATATTTTAACCTTGAAGAAAAAAAAGAAACACATCTGGCTCCCTGATACCACTGCACCATAAATACAGTGACACCTCCGCAAGTATAATTCAGGCCCGATCTTGTCATCGCCAAAGATAACAGGCGGTTCAGAGTGAGAGGAAAATTCCATGTAAACAAAGGATTGATCAGGAAGATTTTGAATCTAGTTACTGTCGCACACTTCATGCAGGCGATCCTGACCTTGTCCTTCCTGTAATTAAGTACGTCCAATCTATGTGTGAATTTTTGAGGGTATAATTACAAATAACCTTTAGCTACTTCCACCAAGAAGGTTATGTTTGCTCCGCTCTTTGTCTCTTAGTTACATAAAATCCTATGGATGGATTTCCATGAAATTCAGGGTGTTGATTTGTTTGTTGGTGCTGATTTGAATCTGGGGTTTCTGCCATAAAATGATTTTTCTTTCTTCTTTTTTCAGCCATGATGAAACTTAGCAAGGCTTTGACTTGATTCCAAAACCTTCAGGCGTTTACGCTGGGGACAAGAAATCAAATCATCTTAAAAATTCAAGTGACTATAATAATGTCTTTGGGTGTAACAGCAAGTTAGAGAATCGTTGAGCGCTGGCACAGTATCACAGAGATAGATCCATTTGTACATGCAATCAGCATCTTGGCTACATGGCACTACTTTAGCCAGGAATGTTATTTGTGAGAAGAAAACGTTGCCATTGAAAGCTACCATGGCTACGACCTTGAGGGACAATTACCATCACCCTTCTCTGACAGTCTCATCCTAACCTTTGACCCTAGTATCTAGTCAACTCTCCTCTCTCACTGTGACGGACAGCTCAGCCTCTGACCTGCCAATAGGCCGTTGAAGAGCCTTAGGCCAATATGTACAGACCAGAGCTGGCTTCATTATGCCGGTGTGTGTGTTTGTGTGTATGTGTTTGAGCATAACTCACCAATCTCACAGTTCTCCCCGGTGTATCCTTGTGGGCAGTAGCAGCTGTAGCCCGTTCCCTGAGGAAGGCACTTTCCTCCGTGCAGACACGGGTTTGTCACGCAGGGCTCCACCTCCACTAAAAGAGACAGACGGACGGGGGGTGGGGGGTGGATTTAGGGATTCAAAAAAAGGGAGTTAATTAGTGATAATGTAAAGGAGAATGTTTTTGTTTGTTTTTTTGCAAATGTGATTTATTTGGGCAGGGATACAACACGTGCGTTTAAGCTCTACAGACTGAGTAAAGCTTCAAATATTTCTTTCCGTGGTGATCCTTTAAAGTTGGATGGCTTCAACGCAATTCCCCTCAGCACTGCTCTGGATAAAAATAAAAATCAATGTATGACTCAGAAAAAAAAACACATGCCATCCTAATTTTCCATCATTGCAGTTCAGCTAAAACCAGCGGTTACAACACACACACACACACACACACACACACACACACACACACACACACACATATCCATTTCACACTCTGTCTCTTTTCAAAGGGATCAGAAGCCACAGAGCCTCAACCTCGCCATCCACTCACAGCCACAGTTGTCATGGTTACCATATGGAAAGCAAGCCTTGGCTCACTCCACCGAGCGTAGTGGGCAGCGTGAGAACTTCAGACATTAGCCATCCTCAACAGAAATGAGCAGACCTCCCGCTGAGCACCTCGGCCTCGCTATTCACCCCCAAAATGTGTGCGTGTGTGTGGTCTCCTTCCACAATTACACATTTCCATATCAATTGATACACCACCACGTGTTTCTCCCCTGAGCCGCTCATTATAACAACTTAAGGTCTTTGAAAACCACCACTCGTTCATCCTGGCCGCAAAAGCTCGGCTGTGGGAGTCTTTGTTCTGCCAGATCTCTCTCTCTCTGACACTGAGGACTGCTTAGGAGGAGGTGGTGTTGGTTGGAGCAGGTTGACACTGTGTGTGTGTGTGTGTGTGTGTGTGTGTGTGTGTGTGTGTGTGTGTGTGTGTGTGTTTGTGTTTGTGTTTGTGTTTACACGGCACGATGAGCGAAAATCAATACCTTGGCTATGATTAGCCCTGAAGCTGATCCTGGTCAATAACTAACCAGAAGCAGACATCTCAAGCTCACATCCTCTGAATTATCATCTTGCCGGCTGCTGTATTGGACAAAATAAATGTTCAGGGCTAAAAAAAGAAAAAAAAGACAAAAAAAAAGATAGAGAGTTTTCAATCAAGGACTCTGGTACAGAGCGAGATTTCTCAATAACTTTAACTCTATAGATTTATGATAAATTTTGCAAAGTAAACCTCTGTGCTCATGGTTTGAATTCTGCTGAAGTCAGGTGCTAAAACCAGCCATGCATTTCATTTAATGTACAGCAGTCTGGTCCAACGTGCACTTGCACCCTCTGCATCAGTCAAGGTCATGGCACGCCTTGACAAATAAACTGTTATGACAAGCAGATTTACGACAGTATGTATGTGTGTGTGTGTGTGTGTGTGTGTGTGTGTGTGTGTGTGTGTGTATGTGTGAAAAATAAACCTTGTACGATTGGCCATTCATTAAAGCGAGTGGTGCAGAAAAATCAATAGTAGGTAGAAGGAGGCCGACTGTCCCTCGCTCCGCACGGCAGCTGACACCACCGGCACAAACAACAACAACAAGCTGGCAACAGCAAAACCCAACTAATAAGTTTACAGAGATAGCACGGTTAGGGGATGATACTTTGCAGCAGCAGCACTGGGAAACCTCAAAGCATTAATCTACACATCACACCTAGCCTTTGCTATGAGTAATCACAGCTACAGACTACAGTGGAAACACGGTTTACTTTGGAAATATGATTTTTGGAGAAGGAGTTTAAATCTCACAAGACATCATTGGCATTTCTGTGAAGGCAGGAGAGCGCGAAGAGGAAGGTGAAAACAAAGAAACTGTCTGCAATTTAAATGTTACAAGAAAATGAAGAAAAATCAGTTTAAAAAAATCAAACAGGAGAAAGAAACTTGATGGATGACTGCGTCTTTGTGTTCTGAGCGTGAATCCATGTGTGTCTGTGCTTGTGTGTGTCCACGTTTTAGTGCAATGTGCTTCGCTGCTGAAAGTCCTTGAATCCAACCTGAGGCCCCTTTTTTCTCTCCTCTCTCATTGATTGAACTAACTGATGAAGTGCTGCGTGATCCAGTCAGGAGAGCAAACACTGACCACCACCATGAAACCCAACCACAGGGGACTGAGCAGGAGCTGAGAGTGTGCACACGTGAGTGAGACAGATGTACGCTGAAAGCCATTACTCTGGTCCAATCTCTCTGCAAGCGTATCCATCCACCTCCTCTGTTTGTGCAGCAAAGATATCAGTGTGTTTGTGTGTTTATGGCCTTCTGCCTGCATGACTCCAGGGTCTCTCAGTCAATCAATCAACCCTCATACTGTACACCAGCAGTCCAGATGGTTACCCTCGGCTTCTTGTCGATACAGTTTACAGCTGATTTCCATCTGCAGATCCCTCGCACCCCGAGCAGGCAGCTCAGCCACGCCTGCTGCAGACATGAGCCGCTTTCAAAGGGCGCAAAATAAATCACCATAGAAATGTGTGATAGCATGATGTCCGTGGGGCTTTCAAATGCCGGGTGATAAGATGTTTCCTGCATGCGCTCTCATTATCAAGCGGGAAATAAGTAGTAAACCAGGTGGCCAGCCAGGAGCTTTGCTGAGATATACAGTGCTGCAGACTTAATGGACAGACTGTGTATGGTGGCAGGGGTGTGATCTCTGCTTGTGGTGGGAATAAAAGGTATGTAGCCAGGGAATACACACTGAATGTTTTGAATAAATAAACCAGTGGAGAGGTCAGGGGAAGGGGAAATGAAAAGGCAGTCTTACAGGACAATTCTGTTCTTTTACAACCAGGATCTTATTTTTATCGTTTCTTTATAATAACAGTGTTAGCAAAGTCATTCCTGAGATTGCACAGCAAGGGTTAGTCACATCGCTTGCTACATTTCATCGCTCAGTTCAGCTCTGTCCAAGGTGCCTTTAAAGCCTCCACACCCACACATCACACATTTTTTTTTATTTAACACATGTAAGAATAGAAAACAAGACATTATCATGTAAGTAGCCAGCCTCTCCATCCACAGCTAATGCTTTCTTAGCTCCAATTACCACAAGCAGGTTCACACACCTATTCACTATGAACAAAGCCAGGTAATGTCTCAAAGTGGGCTACTGTGAGCAAGACAGCAAGACAATTTTGGAGTAGCATTTCTCTTTTTTAGATAGAGGCTAACCACCGCCCATCAACTCCAGTCCCTGTGCCAAGCTAATGTGTAACAGACAGCTCTTCTTTTATTTTGTTCCAAGTTATATTTTTGGGCATTTTTGCCTTTATTCCAATACAGTGAGAGATTGACAGGAAAGTCAGGGAGAGAGAGAGGGGACGATTTACAGCAAAATGCCACAGGTCAGAACTGAACTCATGGCCACTGAGGCGCCCCACAGACAGCTCCATCCACCGAACGCACTATCAGACAGCACAAAATGAGACCCCCATAAAATGTCAGAGCAGCAGAGTACTACTGGATTAGATATGTAAAAAACTGTATCCCTACACTACCGGTTACTGACAAACGGTAACCACAGAGGTGTAATGCATTGGTAAGTACAGTGTTACTGCCCGACACTGGTTATAAACAAGGTGATAGTTTTGCCAGAATGTCTGAACCACTTAATTCAGAAGAGAAAAGAAAGTGAGCGCACCCAAAATATCAGTAGCATTCTCACAAAGCATCGCAAACACTCTGCGCATGTATAACTGCAGTGAGCAAACAGAGATGGAAACAGGCAGTTTGGGTAATCGTTTTACACTTTGTCTATGTTTTCTCTTGCAAATAAATTTGATTAATCTGACTGTTGTGTTTTATTGACCTGTTTTTTGCCGTTTCCGCAGGTGTCAGCAATTATCCTTAAAATTATCCTTAAAGACTATCAAATTAAAATGGTGATTTTTTTTCAGTGTTCAACATCTTAAAACAGATAAACAGTTCTTACTCGTTTGGCCCAGAGTTATGGTACTGATGTTTGATCCTCTGCTGCTCTCCTCATCCATGTTGCCAGGTAACAGGGCCCCTGAGCCCACAGAGTGAGACCAAGCAGGCTCCTCCTCATCCGAGGGCCCTGACAGTAATGGAGGATAATCCAGAGAGCTGTTGTGACCCGCTTTCTCCACTGGGACCCAATGAAGTGATGTTAGGGGGTTGGTGGCGCTGTCCTGGTTCTCTGAGAGAGGAGATGGAGATGGGTCTCCTGATCCAACCATTTGAGTTGGGGACTGGGAAGAGGGTGATGCTGGCGAGGGTGAGAGGGATGGGGTTTGGGAGGTCGACAATGGTGCATCAGTGGATGGAGAGGGGGAGGAGGAAAAGGAAAGAGACGGGGACTGAGATGGCAAAGATTGAGAAAAGGACATAAACGCTGAGACGGACGGGGATGGTGAGGTTGATGGCGATGGAGATGAGGACAGTGTTTGATATGGCTCTGGTGAGATCGACGGGGACGGGGTTTCTGCTGGTAAAGCGGACGGGGATTCGGACGTAGAAAAGTCAACACTTTCTGACCCAGGAGTGGTCATCACTGTGGGCTCTGGAGGACTGGCGGTGGTAGTGGCAGTCGTGGTGGTCGTAGTGGACTGTCCTTTCCTGTGACCCCTTTCTCTAGATCTTTCTCTGGATCTTTCTCTCGGTTTACTTGTTCCAACCGGTCGTCGTGAGACTTGTATCTCCCCTTTTGCCTCTGCTCCGGTGATTTCTCCGCTCCCCTCATCTTCTCCTTTCCCCTTCTCCTCTCCTCTCCCTCTCTCTTCTCCTCTGCTCCTGTCCTCCCCTCTGTTCTTCTTCCCCCTTCCTCTGCCTCCTCTTCCGCTTGCTCTGGAGGTCACTGTCTCCTCCCTCTTCTCACCCGGCTGGGTTGTGGTCTCTGCTTCAACACGGACCCAGGTATCCCCGCTGGATGAGGTAATTTCAGGTGCAGAGCTGGAGGCGGTGAAAGTGTGCGTCTCTGAACTCTCCCAGCTCTTGGTGCTCTCTGTAGTCGTAGGAATACCGGAGGCGGCCAAAGTAGATGCCAGACGAGTGGGTGAGTCTTCACTGGCTGGTGAAGCGTTCTCCTCTGGGGGACTGCTGAACCATGAACTTCCCCAAGAAAGCAAACCTGCGGAGGGCGCAAAGCAAAGAAAAAGAAAAGAGCAAGGAAAGTCAGGCGTGCAATTATGGCAGACAGAGGGAAACATGCAAAAGACAAAGCCAAGAGTGACGAACAAAGTGAGAATCATCTTATGGATTCTCTATGTCTTGCCAAGAGAGGCAAAACAAACGCTTCAAAGCTGTATGAGCTACTCATCAGTTATTTTTCTTCTACCACTGCACCAGCACTGTCTACACTTCAATATTATCAGCACTTGCAAGAAAAGCTCTGTGGACACCGTGAAGACAAGCGTCTAAAGGAAAGGTTGGAATAAAGCTGAACATTTCCCTCTACAGTATGTTAAACATTACTGTCAAACACTGCTGGGATAAATATAGCCAGAGAACGCTGTGTGTAGGGGATGGATGAGCTAATGAAATCCATGTCATTATATTTACAAAGACAGTTAGACAGTTAGAATTGTTTGTTTGAAAGGTTTAACATTCAACACTGAATTTAAGCGTGAGCTTTCAAATTAACATTGCACCGTGTTCATGTCATATCAGAGTTAAGGTAAATACCAGGTTCTGACTTGAACACCAGCCATTCATGTACACATCTGAGTTATAATCACAACAAAAGACTGGAATTAGCGCCTCGTGGTTGTCTGCCTCCCCCACTCAGACTAGTTGCAGATTACATCCTTGTTTGTCCAGAGTCATATTAAGTATTAACCATTTGTGTGAAATTTTTATCTTAATTTCTGTGTGAAGTTTCAAGATATGTTCTGTCACAGTGACACACATCTTTGAACACCAAAATCTAATCAGTTCATCCTTGAGTGCCAGTGGACAGATATTGAGATATTGCATTCAGGTCACTGTGACCTTGACCTTTGACCTTTGACCACCAAAATCTAATCAGTTTATTCTTGAGTCTAAATGAATGTTTGTAGCAAATCTGAAGAGATTCCTTCAAGGTGTTACAGAGATTTATAACGTTCACAAGAATGGGATGTACGTACGTTCGTATGGACGGACAACCCGAAAATATAATGCCTCCGGCCCTGGCTGCTGCAGTTCACAGTAATTACACCCAAAATAAATGAATGTAGTGCTGAATTGTCAAGGCAAGATTAAATAATGTGTCTAAAATAAAACGTTCAAAATGTATGAGAATATATGGCAAGAACAGGCGAAATGTTGGCAAAAAAAAGAGTTTTATCTGAGCTCATTCACAGATATGTTTCTATTACTGATGACATTTAAAGAGATTGTTTCGTGTCATTATCATGTTTAAAACTTTAAAAACTTTAAAACTGAAGCCACTTTTCATTAGACTAAATGAAGACAAAAAAACATATGAGTGAAGTCTAAAGGTCTAAAACCCCTCTGGACCTACACACACACACACACACACACACACACAACACACACACACACACACACACACACACACACACACACACACACACACACACACACACACACACACACACACACACAATCAGGCCAAACACAATGAAACTAAGGACCACCACAGTCTCACAAATTGCCTCAGAATTGAATCAACAACTCTGTAACACAGTTTCAACGAACAGCGAGCGGGGATGCCTGCCATTTGAAAACGGCTTTCTTCCACAGCCAGCACATAAAGACCTGTAAAGCCGAAGGCCCCCTGGAGAAGTGGGAAATACAGGTTGATGAGTTTGTTTTCAGTCTTTCTCCATCGTCTGCCTGCCTTCATGTGTGAAAGAAACCTGATGTTTTCATCCCACGATGCCTGTGCCTCAGTGTTGATAATGGGCATCTAGCTCAAGAGAGACACTTGGAGACATGATTTCTCTGCGTGTACTCTAGTTTCGTAAGGCACAGAGCAGCCACAGTCACGGAAACAAGCAGGCTACTCCTGTTTTCGGTTCTGGATGTAAGCACTCCATTAAAATATATTTCTTAAAATGGGTCTATTTGTACAGCAAAAAAGGTTCAGCTGTGGTTTAAACCACTCAACGATGAGGGTTTCCATTTGATTGAGAATCTGGTAGAGTCAGAAAAAACCTGCTTTTTGATTGGAAAGGTGCCTAAATGAGTGAATCTAACCAAACATGCCTAAGTTGCAGCCAAGACAGGAGCTGGCTGAACTCTTTAAATGCTAAGCAGAGAAGCTTCAGAGCTTCCTCTCCTCTCTCCAGGTTTAGCTTCCTCTCAGTCTGTAATATAAAGATTCTGGTACGGCTGTCGTACTGTAGACGTGTTTATACAATTATGAATATAGAAATAACACAACATATTTTTATTATGTGGCCTCATAAATTTTAAAGAATGGATTCAAGAGCTTGTGAAGAATTATACAGACACTTCATCTGAAGCGCTGTTAGATGAAAGAATTTAAAAGTCTCTCCTTTTGGTAAGTTGCTTTCTAAATGCTTGTGGGGAAATGAGAATTACAAAAGCAAATCTGCAAATGGCCTTTATAAAGCTGAAGAGCAAAATATCAGTGTTTTACCACGAGTCTTTGTGTTACATTTTATTTTATTTTAATTTTTACGTACTTTCAACTGAGTTTAAACATGGAACAGCACATGATAGAGAGCTGTGCCCCCCCAGTCACAGTATTCAACCTAAACAGATACCAAACAAGTATGTTCATTGATGAAAATAGCCCATTGTTTCCAGTCCTCTGTGAGTTTAGGGTGCGGTTTCTTCAGGTCTGCGGGTAAATAATCTAGAAAAGGAGACCAAACCTTGAGGAACAGCTCGTCTTTTCCTTTTCAGACAGCCTGTAATCTTTAAGGGGGGAGGGTGTTAAAAATGTCCCTGTACCAGAGGGTGACACTTGGCGGGGAGTCTTTGATCCAATTGTGCAAGACGCATTTTCGTGCAATTAAAGTGAGCTTCTCAAGAAGGTTGTAGTGTGATGTATGGAAGTGCAATTCCCTGGAGGAAAGGCATAAGAGGGAAAAAAAAGATATATTTTTTTCATTTTTATGTTAAATGTTCCACTAATTACCTTGGAAATAGATGCCCAGAATCTGGAAAATAGTTTACACCCCAAGAAGAAATGGAAATACATCCACATATTAGAATGGCAGAGGAGAAAGAGAGGGATTTATTTTGTGCAAGGTAACAAGAGTGTGAAGAATCTACTGATGCTGAATCTCCCTTAGGCTCTTGCAGGTACACGTGGATCTGATCAAGTCTATAGCCGCTTTCCAATAATTTCCAATATATTCAGTACCTATATCTCTTTGTCATTTATGAGACACGTTTGCCAACTCATATGTCAGAGGAACAGAGAAGTGAATAAAATGATGATATAAAATGTTTTGGCTCTTCAAGGTAAATCTCTCAGAAGAGGAGTTAACCTGAGAAGATATGAAATGCCTCATTTGCAGGTATCCAAAGAAATAACCCTAACCCTTGGGAATATCAAATATCTCTTGCTGCAGCTGGAAGGACAGCAGAGTATTAACTTTAAATAAGTCACCAAGTGCATGAATCCCCTTGTTAGAGAACACATGAAGAGAAGGCAGGAAAGTCAGGATTTTAGATATTAGGAGACAGCGGAGATGTCATATTTTTCCGTCCTAGATATTTTTTTATATCATACCAGACTCTGATACCCAGGTTTCAATACAAATCTTTCTCTTCAGATATATATGTAACCAAAGCCAGAAGTGGCGTGCACGACTAGCCCAAGTTCCAAGATACAAAATTAGGCATAGAAAGTTCATCCATATCTGTAGGTAGTTGTAAGTATATTACTCCTCTGTCTAGGCCAAATAAAATTAGAAAATGCCTTTTTCTAAGTCCTGGTTGAATTTCCTGGGTAATTTCAGGGGGCGAATCTGCAGGGGATATAAAAGTCGAGGGAGAATATTCATCTTAATGAGACTGATTCCACCAGTGAAGGACAATGGAAGGTCACGCCATCGCTCTAGGTCTTTTTTAATTTAATTAAAAAATGTAAAAAAAAAAAAAAGAAAAAAAAGAAAAAATAAGACCTAGACCATTTGTTATGACACAAGCTGTTGGTGAGTGATATATGATTTTAAAGGACAACCCCTCCCCCAAACCCAAGTCTCTCCCGTACGTCAAACAGATAGCTCCACTTGACCCTATACCCAAGGCCTTCAGAGCATCTGAGGAGACAGCCAGTGGCAGCCTTCTGTTTCTTCCAAGTAGTAAACTGCACAATGCTCATGTTGCTGGTTGAGGAATGTCCGTGAACAAATCCTGTCTGGTCTGAGTTTAAAAGAGTAAATTCTCCAGCTGCCTGGCAAGAAGTTCTGAGAGCAGCTTGCTGTCAGATTCAAATGATAGGTCTGTAGGAGCCACACAGGTCAGGAGGTTTATCTTTCTTCAAAATGACAGGGATGTGGGTGAGGTTTGAAGTAGGGGGGAGACGGCTAAAAGAATCTGAATGCATATCTGTGAGGGGGCTTACCAGGGGGGAGGTACTCCCCTGAGAGTACGAATGAGACTTCTTCCTTGCTAATTAGTTTCCATGGATCCACTTTTTGCTCATCAGATGGAGTCGGGCACTTTGTCTTATAAACTAATTCTAATCATATCAGCTGATTTGAGAAAGTCATGCTTCTTTTGGGGACAGTTAGGTGTACAGTTAAAGTCACCTCGTGTATGGAGAGGAAAATGTAGCCAAATATGACAGAAGCTGTGGGACAAAGGAGGCTTCATATATAGTTTGGAGCATTCAAGGATAACAAGTTCACCATACAGGTAGCAAGATAAAAGTACACAGCAACTCTCCTTTTTCTGTTATTGTTTCATAACTGATTTTTGAGTTATGTAGTGGGTAAAACATCTGGTCCACACACCCCACCTCTTTACTTTAATATGTTCCAGGTCTGAAAGGTGGGTTTCTTGGAGAAACGCTATCTGACATTTCTCTGTCTTAAAGAAAAGATTTTCTGGCATTTGATGATGTGGTTAATGTCCTTCACATTAAGTGCAAGAATTTCAAGGTATGTTTTTCACACTTTGTACAACATGTGGAAACTGATAGGTGGTTATTAGCATGACACAGATAAATGAAAGGGCAGCAGCAGCAGCAGCAGCAGCAACAGCAGCAGCAGCAACAGCAGCAGCATCTAGTAATCACATACACGAGGGCCGGAGCACAACGCCCACACAGTAAAACAGAAAACACACAAATTAATCTGTCATTTGTTGTGCGAGGCTCCATCCCCAAACAATGGATCAAATCTCAATACAAAACAGAACCCTTCAAGAACAAGAACAAATAACTGCCATTCAGTGGCATTAAGTGATGAGTGAGGCCAAGAGGCATCCCTCCTCTGCCTCTGAGAGAGAGTAACACAGCAGCTGCAGGCCTGTCCATCACGCTGCCGTCACGATGCTCGTTCTCTACAACCCTCCCCTACTGCAGCGTTTGTTGAAAGTAGCGGAATATCATTGGGGGAAAAAAGAAAAAGAGTAAACATTGTAACTGAGCGTTTATATTTGTACGATTAAATAAGAAAAAAGGAAATGAGCAGCAATTCTGCTCAGAACCAACCAAGCACTGCACGCAGCTTCTACCCAAAACAAGCGCAGTGAGAAGGGAGAAAAGACAAAGAAAAAAAACCCCCCAAAACATCAATAGCAACACAAAAAACAGACCAATGCATATTGTATCTGTGGCTCCTATTTTCGCTGTCCTCAGCCTGGTCGGCTGAGATCTTAAGAGGAGAGTTTGTGGGGTCTTCACCCAGAGAAATGCAGCTCTCCGTTTGATTTATTGTGTTAGTGTTGTCTTCTTCAACATGGCTACTTATAGTCTGTTGAGGGTGGACTGCAGTTAAGCAAATTTCTGCTCCATAAAGCCACTAATCTTCTCCAATCATAGCAGCATTTTCCTTGAACAGTGCGCTGTCTCCATCATTCATGCTAACCATGTCAGAATTGGTCAGAAATGATCCTGTTTGATTTTTATCTGATTTTATTCTGTTTGATTAGAGCAGTTTGAGAACTTAAATATAGTTTTAATTCATTTTATAGACACTGACTAATGCTTGCACAGTAGATGTGGCTGTGCAGCACACATAGAATGTAATTCGGTACTGATTAATAATGCATTTTTATCTAACATTTCCAATTTCCAATTTCTTATAAATGGAAACTGATATTACTTAATCTTGTAACATTTTTCAAAGCCTCTTCGTACAAGTAAAAGTTTAAAGACCAAACACTTTTAACTATTCAGACTGAATCCCGGTGTCTGGAAAGCAACTGCCAACAGCTGGAGCTCGTTCACTGTCACACTTGGTGTCAATCAGCTCATTAGTGACCCAACAGGAGAGGCAGCCTGAGCTACACAGAAAGGTCAGCGTGGCTTTAGTTTGACTCCCAGCCGGATGCAAGGGCACCAAAGGCCTTTGCTACACTGCTTTTTTCCCCTTGTATACCCCGGTGCTTCTCTAATGAACTACATTCCAGGGGCTTGTTCTCTAATGAATGTACCATCCTGTTGTGTTGCTCAGCTGATGTTTCCCCAACATCACAGACTGAGAAAATTACACACGCGCACACACACACACACACACACACACACACACACACACACACACACACACACACACACACACACACACACACACACACAAAAACATACTCATAAACATACACTGCCATTAAGCCTTGTTTATGCCTCATGACTCAAACGCTATGAAACGTGCTCCTCTTTTTTCTTCTCTTTTTATCAATTGATTCAGCTGCACATCATCGGGCATTAAATCCCAGGTGATAGGTCATTCAGTTCCGTGACTAAAAGCGATCATAATCCACACACCTGGTGATGATGTGTTGGATGGATCAGTCTTTGTGGTAGCTGTGTCCTCCTTCCCTGCCTGTCCGTTTGGTGCTCGGGTCCCCTCCTCATCTCCAGTCCCCACCAGGTAGTTCCAAGGCTTCCAAATGGACTTGACAATCTTTGAGATCACCTGAAATAACGAGTGGATGGACAGAAACTTAGTTCATTCAGTAGTTCAAACCTTATGACAAAAGCTGAAAACCAGACCGACCTTCTTCTCAGCAGGAGTTGGGTGAACTGGGGGTCGGAGAAACTCCTCCGAATCAGGTCCAGGCTCCAGCAGCTCTCCCCAGTCTAAGGAGCTCTGTCCTGGGATCAGCTGGAGGGTCAGATAGGACCCTGAGGACTCTGAAGACCAGGGGTCTGTGGCTGAGGAGACAAACGGGTGAGTAATAATCCACAGTATCCACGCAATCGTTTTCCACAGGCATCAATATCAGCAGTCAGACTCACAAGCATCAGCGTTGTGAAGAGCGGCCTCCTCTTCAAGGTCAACCAACCCTGTCCAGTTGGAAGGTAAAGCATCTGAGGACCCTGCATGGGTGTATGTATGTAAAGTTATGTGCATTCTTATGTCCATATTTACATACTAAATGTTTGATTCTGATTAATCAGCTGCTTCGTGCTGCTACAGATCTGCGAATCGAAGACAAATGTAAAACCTCTGGTAGTGATGGTTTGCTGTGTAGTCAGGTCGGGCTTGTCTGTCCCTGTGGAGTCAGCATCACTTGAGCCTGTGAGGTAGCTCCAGGGCTTCCACAGGGAGGTGTAGATCTGAGAGATGGAGCCAGTATTCTTCACTTTACCTAGGAAACAAGTCGAAGAGATTTGCTTTTCCTGTGGCAGCCGCCGAAGGATTTCATCCAGTTTGTGTCAAAGTTTTGCTGTTTTAATTTAGCAGGAATCTGAAAAGGAGCTTCTGGATATTTAACTTTAAGACAGCCTGTCCTCTTTTTTCTCTCTCTCTCTCCCACTGCTTCTGTCAATCCAGCAATTTCACAGATACATGGCGGTGGGGTAGATAATGTGGATCAGAAATCAGTGTTGCCATAGCTACAACACTGGCAATGACATTTATTTTCATTCTTACTACATTAAGGGAACTCAAAGCATCCAGCGCAACAACAACACTTCTCTTATGAGTGAGATGGCAGTTAACTCAGTGTATTCATCCATGTTTGTGCCCAGTTTTGATCCACACACTCCAATTACATTACCTTCATGAAACGTCTTTGATTATTGCAATAGTCAACTAGATTCATTCATGTTTTATTGCTGTCTAAACAGTCCATAATGAGTTAGCTCTGTATTTTTGATTGTCTTTTCCATAAACAAAAATAGCAAACAAACGCAACCCGTGGTTGTCACAATACCTCTGTAGCAGTAAGCATCATATAACGCTGTGGTGTTGTCAGCAGTGCTGTTGGGTGTGACGGTGCAGACTCCCGGCTGGCTCCCTCCACACTCCGGGCGAGGCCAGGTCACCGGGTAGCGGACACTGCCATCAGACAGCCAGCCTGGGGCGCAGCTGTCCAGGCCTGCTCTCCAGGCCAGATAAAGCTGCCCTACCGTGGCCAGCTGACCCCCGAGGGACACGCAGCGGTCTGAGGCTGAAGACAGAGACAACCTGCCCGGGACGGAGGAGTGAAACACCTCACCTGGAGGAGGGACACATGAGACGGGAGCTTGTCAAGAAGCAGGTGAAGCCTGTGGGATTTCTAACAGGGATACACCTGGGTTATGAAGACTTTGAAAGCACACGTAATATTACGTAATGGTCCTTGCGCTTAATGGATAAGGCTGATGACATTTTATATTTTTGTTACCCTGCCTGTGACTTTGAGCTCCAGACATATTCATTCCTACTAAAGGCATAAAAGCTAAATGTAAAGGTTCATTTTTTATGACATGCTAGATAATTTTCTAAATCAGATGGGCACTGTGGTAAATGGTGCATTTGAAGAGGACTATTTTTAGCCGTGGATTTACAAGAAATTTGTTGGAATAGTGAGTATTCACAACAGCAGGATGGTGTTTGTGGGATTGGCTCAAAATAAATCACAGTGCCCAAGTTCATGAGGGAACATGTCACCCAGTGCGATGGTGTGACTCTGCGAGCGGGATCAATTCACTGTTTGTACTTTCATTGGAATAGAAAAGAGAATATGGCAGGACTTCTCCTGTAATATTGTAGCAGAGTATGATGCAAACACCAGTGTAAAGCCAAAAGCTGTCACAGGTTTTGATGTGTATTTTTGTGAGTGAGTGTGCATGTGTGTGTGTGTGTCTGTGTGTTTGTGTGTGTGTGTGTGTGTTTGTGTGCGTGTGTGTGTGTGTGTACCATCCAGTTCTTTTGCAAAACAGTACACATCAAACAGCTCTTTCGGGTCCCTCTTCCCATAATTCCTCACTCCAGCGGAGTACTCCTTGTGTCCATAGCAACCAAGCTCTGGCAGCTGGACAGAATAACTGTGGAGACAACCATGTGGGAGTCAACCTTGTTTCTTTTCACTAATAACAGGAAATAAGTAGCATAGATATCTCTTGGACATTTTACTGTACAAACATTATTTCAGCTCAAATATCAAAACTTTTATTTTCATTAGGTCTTTAAATGTCAGTTCAGACTAAATTCTTGTCTGTGTTCTCTTTTAAAGGGCAACATATTAGAATAGATTAAAATACAATTAACAGCAAAGAGACAATGGGGGTAAAAAGAACATGATCCTGAAGCAGATAAGGTGACAAAACAAAAGAAGTGAATATTAATAGAAACAGCAGATGATCCAGTAGGAGAGGGAATAAACAGTACGCAACACAAAGAAAATGTCTTCATATTAGAGACTTAGCAGGCATATTAAAACTATAGCAGTATTTAAAATTGACCTGAAACAATTAGTAGATCAATCAATTACTCCGTTGATCATTTAGCTCTTGGCAAGAAAGCCAAGAGCATATTTACCAAACTATTCCTTTAAGTAAAAACGCCCAAAATTCACTGGTTTCATCTTCACAAATGTGAAAATCTTTCTGTTTCCTCTGATTCCTCTTTAATAATAAAGAGTAATCTGAGCTCTGGGGACTGTTAAAGCTTTAGCTAATGAATTGGTTGGCCTATAAATGATCAAAAAAATGTGAGAAACATCTTTCACAATTTCCCAAAGCCTGAGTCCACGTCTTCAAATGTCTTGTCCGAGCAAATCCTCACAGAAGCTGGTGTGAGAGAATGTTTGGCTTTTATTTTTTCTGACTCATTTTCTTTTAAACATGAGCTCTACTTAATCAATCAATCAATCAATCAATCAATCAATCAATCAATCAATCAATCAATCAATCAATCAATCAATCATAAAAACAGCTAGTTGCAGACTTGCTTCAAAGCAAAAGGTGTAAGGGTGTGACAAGCAGAAGGAGGCTATTGAATGTCTTCTCACCGGACGGTCTGATCATCCAACCAGCCGGCTGCACAGCTGGCAAAGCCGTCATAGTACGCTGCCCACAGCTGGGCCGGCGAGGCGATCTGAGCAGAGTTTTCCAGGCAGACCCGCTGCGCGTCGGCAAATGAAAGGGAGTAACGGGCGCTGGGAGCCCGGTAGTGAAACACCACACCTACACGGGCAGACACACAGACATTTGTTGAGGTAAACTTTTTCAGTTCTTTCTGTTTCAGTGGGATGCAATCGATGAACATTTTATTGTGGCCACAAACAGATCAATCTACCGCTATGTGAGTTTCAGCAGGAGTTTCACAAATGAGCAAACAGAGAAATTATCACTGGTGTTCATTCTTTAATTAAAAGAATTACACATATTCGAGTGGAAAGCTAGATAAGAAGAACAACACCAACGTAGAAAGCAGTGAGCTACATTAAGTCAGTCATTATGATATTGATATAGTGAATCAATGTTATTAATGTTTAATTAGATAAAAAAAAAACCTGAAAGGCTGGCTGTGCTCTTGTTTTAAAGCAGCCCTTACGCATCTTACATTAGCACAACAGGTCTTGAATATAATAAAACACAAAAATCAATTAAGTTAGAAGAATTTTAAAAGCCTTTTGTGTTAATGCTGCTCAGTCTGTCAGCGGCGTTTCTGCTTAGTTTAAATGTTTCCTTTAGGGAGTTGTGGCACTAAACCTCTCTCACAAAGAAATCCCCGCCAGTGGCTGCTGCACTTACCGGAGACCACCAGGGGCACAGTGTCTCTCTCATAGTCGTTACCCATGACAACCTGACAGTGGTAAGTGCCTGAGTCGTTGGTACGGAGACTGGAGATCTCCATGGTAGCATTCAGGGGATTGGCAGGGTATCCTGGCAGCATGACCCGTCCACTGAAAGCCTTATTCACCTTGATTACATCACCTTTGGCAAAGAAAAATAGGTTTCTTCATGACAAATGTCTGCTGGCATCCTGTAGGTTTTACAGATAGAACATAAAGTTTAAGGGACTCCAGATAAATAGATGGAGATAAATCTTTATCACCAAATTTTATTTTGTTCGGATGACTTTGCTAAAATCCTGGAAAACCTTTCTATTGAGAGTGCTTATCTCATTTTAACTGCAGGATCTGCTGTTGTCAGCTTGTCAAGATTTTTGTCATTGTTTTGCTTTGGAATCCTTAAGATTCATTCAGATTCATGATTTTTTTTTTTTTTTTTTGGGGGGGGGCATCAGAAACAATGTGTAATCACCTTTTAAGTTGATTTGGCAAACAGCTGACTAATTACACATTCAAAATTAGGAGTTGTGTTTCTGCTGTAAGTCAAATATTGACTCTCTTTTAGCTCAGCTTGGTTTTGGTTTACGCTCATTCATGAAGAAACATCTGGCTCTTTAGCTGCCAAATGCTCCACTGTGTTTACCATCAAGTTGCTAACTTCACATCCAGTGTTTGGTGCCAAAACTATCCACTGAAAGATGCTAAAAGAATAAAGGCGCCTGAGGTAGGTAATTCAATCTGCACACAGCCTTGACAAGTACAGTGGAAAAACCACAGCTATGAAGGTTCATCATTTTAATTCAGCTGCTATTGTTAAGTTGTTTATCCACAGCTGAATCAGACTTTCACATCACATCTTTGTTTTACCTTTAACTGAAAGTACAATCTGCTCAGGACGAGCACCCTGTCCCCCCGCTGGGAGCCTGGTCCACAGGAGGTGGGGAGGCTGGCTGGAGGAGCTGGTCCGGAGGGTGAAGACACAGGGGAGGACGGCTTTGCCTGCCAGTGTTTGTTGTACTGTAGGATGGATGATCCTACGCATGTTCACTATGGAGGAGGCTTCACCTAAAGAGGAACAAAAGGAGGACAGAACATAATTGGATTATGTGATTAAATGCAGTGCATTCAGAAAGTATTCAGATCCCTTCACTTTTTCACATTTTGTTATGTTGCAGCCTTGTGCTACCCCATAAAGACAAAAGGAAAACAGAATTTTAGAAATTTTGAGCAAATTTATTAAAAAGGGAAAAGTGAAGTGTTCAGACCCTTTACTCAGTATTTAGTTGAAGCACCTCTTGTGGCAGTTTTCAGCCTCGAGTCCTTTTGGGTATGATGCCACAAGCTTTGCACACCTGGATTTAGGGATTTTCTGCCATTCTTCTCTACAGATCCTCTCAAGCTGTGTCAGGTTGAATGGGGACTTGGTTGAATTGGGTTCAAGTCAGGGCTCTGGTTGGGCCACTCAAGGGCATTCACACAGTTGTCCCTAAGCCACTCCTGTATTGTCTTGGCTGTGTGCTTCAGGTCATTGTCCTGTTGGAAGGTAAACCTTTGGACCAGTCTGAGGTCCTGAGTGCTCTGGATCGGGTTTTCATTCATTCAGCTTCTCCCTGTCCCTGCTGCTGAAAAACACCCCCACAGCCTGATGCTGACACCCCCATGCTTCACTGTTGAGATGGCATTGGTCAGGTGATGAGCGGTGCCTGGTTCCCTCCAGACATGACGCATAGAACTGAGGCCAAACATTTCAATCTTGGTTTCACCAGACCAGATAATCTTGTTTCTCACATGCTGGGAGTCCTTTAGGTGCTTCTTTTAGCAAGCTTTCACTGAGGAGAGGTTTTTTTCTGGCTACTCTGCCATAAAACCCAGATCAGTGGAGTGTTGCAGTGTTGCCTTCTTGGAGGTTTCTCTCATCTCTACAGCGGCCAGCTCTAGTAAGAGTCCAGGTTGTTCCAAACATCTTCCATTTAAGAATTAAGGAGTTATGCAGCAAAAATATTTTTTGTAGCCTTCCCCTGATCTGTGCCTCGACACAATCCTGTCTCTGAGCCCTGCAGGCAGCAGCTCCTTCCACCTCATGGCTTGGTTTTTGCTCTGAGGTGCATTGGCAGCTGTGAAACCTTATATAACCAGATGTGTGTCTTTCCAAATCATGTCCTGTCAACTGAATTTACCACAGGTGGACTCAGGTGTCATATTAAAGGGTCTGAATATTTATGTCAGTGTGATATTTCAGTTTTTCCTTTTTAATAAATTTGCAAAAACTTCTAAAATTCATTTTTTTTTTCTGTTTTGACATGAATTGAAATGATTTTAGCATAGATGCTGCAACATAATAAAATGTGAACAAATGTGAGGTCGTCTGAATACTTTCTGAATCCACTTAAGGTTGGAGGACATTTTGCTTACAAGGGAAGAAAACAGTGGAGAGAAAAGTGCAGTAAATAATTTCCTGTATTGATGATTCACCATGCATGAATCTACTTTGTGAAAGGGTTCAGCACATAAATGCTTTTTCAAAGACATGAATAAGTCTGCTGGTTCATTCAGGTGAATAATATAATGTGCACTAAGCAGACGAGGAGCTACAAGAATGACAAAAATGAGGAACTTGATTTGTTAGTGCAGCAAAGGAGCGCAACCTAGGCACACGCACACACCCGTACACGTGGGCTGAAAACCACACACACACACACACACACACCAAAAACCATAGTGTCTCGCCGCCTCCAACCTAATTATTTATTATTTCATTACTTATTCTTCACACCATTCACACAAATGACTTGAACTGTCACTCAGACTAATTCATTTATTGATTTTATGCCAATGAAACATCAATGTAAAGGGAATGTCACTGTAACAGTTAGATTCATGCTTCTGCAGATTGATATCAGCAGTTCACTCAGTCTGGTTGCCAGGATATACATGTTCAATGTAACCATGACAACAGGATCACCTACAAAGCCACTATCCTCCAACCAACCAATTCTTAGCCTACCTCTTTGTGGCTTTATCCTTCGTGGATGTTACTGTAAAATACCAGGCTTCCATTTATTTTATTATTTTTTATTTTGTTTGTTTGTTTGATTGTTTTATTTCATAGATGGTTGAAATTGTGTTTTCCTTTTCCTTTTCTATCTATAAAAGTTTTTTGTAAACTTTCATTTACTTTTGACTACTGTATACTCATCAAGAGTTCATCATAAATTCATGAGCTGTTTCTACTCTTGAAGTCAAGCAGTTACATGGAGTGTAATGTGCTAAACTGTCTGTCAACATACCAACAAAAGGCAGACGACACCACTACAAAGCTTAATAAGCTTAAAAGAAATTTGTTCAGGGATTTTTGTATTTGTTTTCTTCTCTTGTCCTCTCCATTCACATTTTCACTGTTAGTCAAATACACCAATTTGTAGAGAACAATTATGAGTGTAACAAGAGAATCTGTGACAAAAAACAAAAAACAAAGCCTCCTTTGGAATATTGCACATGGTGGAATTGAATCCCCAAAAGATATTTCCATCTGCATTTAGATTGGACGGCTTTCACGAGCTGAACCCCCTGAGAGCATCTCTCTGTGCTGAAGAACGCCGCTGCTGCCTTCCCCCCAAATCAGATGTAATCACAGAATCACAAATACACAGGAAAAGCATAAGAGCCAGAACAAGACGGCGCGCAGGAATAAGAGAGGGGGAGAGGGAGTCTAAGAAACTGAATGGTGGAAACTGAGGGACTTTGGATGATAAGTGTACCCTGCCTGTAGCATGGTGGTGACAGATGGGACAAAAGAAAAACAGCCTAAAAAGAGAAGCAGAGAGCTGGAAGTGACATGAAAGGACACTCTCTGTCATTAACAGATGTCATCTCTTATTCCTGTGAGTCCTTCTGCAGAGTCCACTGAGCTGTTTGGATTACTGATAAACTGCAAACAGGGTTTTTACCAATGTTTCTTAAACGCAACTGAATCTACAATCTGCAGATTCACTGTCTTGATACGATCATCAAGGGTTGCCATGGTAAAAAATACACCTGTTTGATATCTTGTGGTACATTTCGTGGGGATGAACCTGGAAATTATTGACTCAGGAGTGAAATAGTTCTACATATAAATGTTTTAACAGCTTTTACAGTAGTTTCGGAGGTCAATATTTAAGAGAAACAGCAGGTTCCAATCCTGATTTTTCAATTTTAGTAGCGGGGAGATCATTTTGTTTACTCTTGGATCCTGTATCGTGCAACAACAAAAAACTATAAAACATGATTGAATTTGGATTAAAAACTTTCTCCTGTCAGAGCGCAATGACCAGTGAGCTTATGTTTTAATGTTGGAAATGAGAGATGCAATGAAAATCCAGGCTGACCAGCTTCCACCGTGCATGCCAATTGCAGGAAAAGTAATTAAGGAGAGCAACTTATCTTCAGTACAAGCCGTCAGCAGGCTGCATGTGTGACCTCAAACCTGCGATACTATCCTCCAGAGACTTGCAGCTCTGACATTTTTTGTCTTTTTGTTCCATAATTGTGAATTTTACGCATAGTTGTAATGGAACAGATGGTCGACTAAACTTGCACAAATGGGTTTGGAGGTGTTCCAGCTCAATCCCACTGAGCATGTCTGCAAACATCCTCAGCATGTCAGCTTTCACTTACAACACTCAAATGAGTACAGACCTGTCTCGTGTAATTATGCCTATGGAAAAATGAATGTGGGAACTCTTTTTTTTTTTCTGTATTCTGGTCCAGCTGCTCCCCCCTCCTTTATTCCTTCCTCCTATCCTCCTTGTCATCTGTCATCCTTCCCTCCCTCTTCTTTCACTGAACACTCCTGTATACTGACATATTCTGTTACCATGGACCGTTGTTCCTTTATATTCAAAACTGCTGATCAGTTTCTGCAGCACTTGGAAGATGAAGCGTTTGAAGGAAACAAAGAGTGGAGGTATAGGAGACAGAGAACTCACCCAAGCCTAAATAGAGCAGCAGCATCAGAGCAAAGAGGATCTGCCGCCCAGCTGTACACAGAGTGAGCACCATCCTGGACCTGCAGAGAGAGAGAGAGAGAGAGAGAGAGAGAGAGAGAGGGGGAGAAAACAGAGAAGAGGATAGTGAGACAGGATCGAGAAGGGAGGCTGAACCAGTAGTTATAGGAGGAAGCTTTGGATCAAATGTAGTTACACTGGACATGTATACTTGCTTTTCAGTGTAATAATTGTATGGCACAGCTTGGACAATCAAGTAAATATCTTATTTTATGAACTGTAAATGTGCACATCTTTAAGTTTAGTTCTTATCATTGCCTCTATCTTTCAAATGCAAGCACATTAAAACTGTGAATCATGTTTTCATTCAATGTATTCGTTCAGTAAGATGATACACTTCACCCATCTGTATCCAGCGTTATCCTCCCATGCTTGCTTTCCCCTTGAAGACAGAACTTTTTACTGTAACTCATTATTCAGATGTTACAGATTTTGTCTGTTAACATGAAACCCCTGAGCTTTAATGGCACAGTTTCACCCAACCCCCAAATTGCTCTGTGTGGTTGGGCCAGTGCTCTGCACGGAAGCTCGCTGCCATCGGTGTGTGTGAACCGATGAATGAGAGGCAAAAGATCTTTAGATGAAAGTGTGAATACAAGGTGAAACAGACTTTCATTGTCTGAACGGATGAAGGGCTGCTTACTCCTTTGTGTGTCTGAAAAACCTCCACAGCTGTTTTGACTTATAAAACACTTTGGGAAGCTAATTAGACCAACTCATATCCATCCAAATGTGATACAAACAAACTTGTGTGTAGCACAAAGGGTTTTCAGCTGATGGAAATGAAATGTATTGTCAGCACTGTCCTTTGCTAACTCTGGTGGTGATGCTCACACAGGCCCGGATACGTGTCACTCATCTTAATGAGCTGTCTACCATCAGAGCAGTTTCACAAGATGAGGAAACCATCATCTGTGAAGCCACAACAGGTGTTAAAGCAGCAGTGTGAAAAACTAATGCAGACCTTCACAAGCTTTCTGAATGGGCAAATCACTCATACTTTCTTTAGTTTTTCTCTCATTTATTTATTGTTGCGATGACTCCCCTGCACAGTGACCTTTAGTCTCCACATTATATCCAGCTCAATACTGGCCACATCTTTAAAAAAAATATATATACTAAATGCCCCAAATGGCTGAATCACTGAATCACTGAAAAGCAAATATTGGGCAAATGAGGCAATTGAGTAGCATAGCACACAGTATCACAAACAGGAACAGATAATGTATCATATTTATTGGTGTTATAATAACAAACAAATAACTGCATCTGTAAAGACCCAGACACAGTTAACTGGGGCTGAGGCAAATTACTCATTCAGCACTTTCCAGCCAGGAAGCCTAGACACACAACTGTGTGTGAAAGAGGCTTAAACGGCACTGCAGCAAGACAATGTGACCTTTGATCCCATGCACTGTTGGAGATGGGAGGATGTCCAATGGGATGCACTAGAAATTTTAACTTGAATTATCTTGAAATTAATACACACTACATACTGTGTTTAATGAAAAATGTGAATTCATTGAAAAAAAGTACCTCCCAGAAAGTGAAGAATGAGTCACATTTATTGTCTTACTCCTAGTGTAAGAGTATTCTTAAAGAGCAGAGTGATCACATGATTAATCATAAAAAGAGACCCTACATCTGCCCATTGTTCATTAAAAAAATTCCTTACATGTTGTTTTCAGTGATGTTAATTTTGTGTAATTTCTCTTGTGATTTCTTGTAATCTACATGAAAAAGACAGCAATCTAATATAATTATGATATGTATCTATAAATTGGGATCAAATGGCGGAAATTGGCTGAAAACAGGAAAAATAAATTCTGCTACTGGTGCATCAGAGAAAACACTACTGTCACTACTTTAGTCTGGAACTGTCAGTGTTGTATGGGTTTTTGGAGGCATCTATCTGCTTTTGTATTTTCCAGAATTTGTCATGCCTTAAAACGGTTTGGTTTCTGTGACCGCAGGATAACTTCTGCCTTATGAATTTTATTATGTATTTTATACCTAAAAATCCAAAATTATATTCAAAAATGTAACAGGAAAAATACATTCATGGCTACAGGAAGTGTCTTGTCTTTAATTTACCTTTAATTGCACATTTTTGTGCCCTGTGGGAGGAAAGCAGAGCACACTGTGATAACCCACGCAGACATGGAGACATGCAAACTACACACTCACTGTGTAGCAAATTACAGCCTCCAGAATGATTATTTAAATAAATCAACACCTCTCTCAAACAGATTCAATAAAAACTGAATACTCTAATCCTCATAAGGGGAGGATTTATTGCTGCCCTGTTGTATTATACTGCATTAGTTTTATCTAGGTGTATCTAATAATTTGGCATGCGAATGTAGATTGATTTATTCAATGTATGGCATAGTAACCATTTCCGTAAACTGCAGAATCAGTATTTTTACTAAAGAACTTGACATGGATTTAATCGCTGGAGCACTATGCAGTTAAGAAACTGCACTGGCAAATGTATTTCTGCATCAGCAAATAAAATATTTAAAATGATTTACAGTTTGTAATGTTAGTTTAAGCCATTTTCTCACTCATACATGGACGTTAAAAGAAACAGAAATAATACAATAGATGAATAACAACATTAGATGATGGTGCATAAATTACTTGTCCCACCTGTTAATGATCCTAATATATCAGATTTCGGTGGAGATAAAAAGTAAAAAGTATGTTTCTCAGGAACCGCTCATCTAAAAAACTTCACAGTTGACACTGCGCTTCCTCTGGTCCTCAGCAATCCACCCGTGACAGAGATTTCTCCCTTTATAGCTAAATTACATTTATTTGGCAGATGCCTTTGTTGACAGCGACTTATATTTTTCACCTACTCTACCACCTGAGCTCCAGGTCCAACACTGGTCTTGTACATGGCTAAAATAGGCTATCTCACATTGTAAAGTCTGATTTGATCTCATGCCAGACACAGATATATCTGATGAAGAAAAATTGGACTGAATCTTTTATAACATCCAAACAGTCATTCTCCAAAGTATAGCTAAACCAGGATTAACTTTCAGTATACTGCAGTGAAAAGGTGATTGTGGTGCATTCCTACAGCACAACATAGAGGAAATCCTACCACACATCAGAAATGAGCTGCTGACTTTGCCAGAGGATTTGGCTTGGGGCCCAAAGCTTCTCAGCTCAATGGAGAGACGCCTGAGACAGAGCTTTATTGCCCCGTACTGGTATGAAATGGAGATAAAGAGGAGAATATGCTGTTTGAAGTAAACACAGCTTTGTTTTCTACAGTAATGCTGATTTCAAGGGGAGTTAAGCAACTTAAACAACTCTAAATTATTTATTTGTGAACAAAATATTGGTTCTTTGTTCCCTCCTGACTTCACTTTGCATTACCAGGGCTTGCTAGAAGACCATTTGAAGAATCTGAAATAATCTGAGACAAATCAGTCCATGTTTGGACTGTCAGGATTTCAGTTACATAAAGTAAATAATTAATCCAAGAAAGCAAATGGCCTCTTTGCATTCACCAAGGTAACAGCAATTCATGCCAACAGCATCCCAATGCTCAGAAAGAAGATTATGCAACACCAACTCAACCCTTTGTAAATTACAGGAATAATGGTGGCTCTCTTCTCCGACCATGTGAAAGCTCAGTAAAACGTTCAACCAAATAAAAGTGGAGCGTGTGAGGCAAAGAAAAAACATTCCTCTCAGACAGTAAAGCACTTTGTGACACCTGCCAAACAATACTTTTCATTAAACAACAATTTGTTGTGTGAGTTTTAATAGTGGTCTACCAAGTCGGTCTTGGACTTTTTGAAAAAAGGGGATTCTGGTGAGGGTCAGACCCCGCTGTGCCACACACTTTGAGGCATCCACACCATAAAGGTGGGTTAGGACCTTGTGATGGGCTGTGACAGATTGGGGTTGAGCCGTTGGACTCTTTGCATGTTGAAGGCCTGCAGTATTGGTTGAGCTAGCTGGGTGGGTGACAAGAGATTTCTAAAGGTTTGGAGAGGGTCGTGACACAGAGGAGTTTGCCCAGTCTTGCAAGAAGAGCGCATTAGAGAGTGTTGTATCTGAGTGCCTGGGACTGGCAGGGGCCCAACAGCCACTATCCACAGCAACAGAATTCAGAGTTCAGCCTATGGACATCTCTATGGCTGCTATACAACATACAAACGATGTTCCTATAGACAGCAGCCATTCAAAGTTTTACCAGAGGGGATTTACAACATACAGTGCACTGGCCATGCAATTGCACCAGCCGCATACTAACCAGTGCCACCTTTTGTTAAGGACGAGACATCAGATGTTGTGAACGTCTCCCTCTAAATCGCCCCTCTTCACTTTCACAGGCCCAGTTGTGTCTTGAGCCAGAAGTCTCTAAAATGCTTCAGTGGACTTCAATGCGAATGTCCATCCGACACATTTTCACGATGTCGTCTGAATAGGACGCATTCTCAGCTCATTGTAAGAGCCAGCGAGTGGAGTGACAGAGATCCAAAGAGAGCTACCAGACGAGGCTGGCAGACCTACATTAGGGTTCAGCACTAAGCTGTCAATCTGTTGAAGCAGGAGACCAACTGGCCTCATGATCATCATGACGCAAGCAAGACAGGCCCCTCGACCCAAATCTCCTTCAGTTCCGCAGTTGGTGGGAAAATTGCTTGAAGAAAAAGCATGAAAAGTGTGGAAAATGTCATCTCAGCTGCACAGCACAACAGCTTTTTGCTTACAATGCCTCTGCCATGCTACACTGAAGTGTGTGTGTGTATGTTCACAGACTGCAAAGGTTTACTTAATCAGGCCAGGTTGAGTCCCATGTTAAGTGATGACACAAGCAGAAACACACATGCCACTGTAATAGTACAACCACTATAAAGTTGCACATCAAACTCCCAGCCAAAGCCGAGTGTCACTGGATCTCAACTTCTGTGTACTAAAACACATACACAACAACATGAGTACAAAACCTGGTGCCTAGCCTCTGTTAAATATC